CATATCTCACTTGAGCTGTATCCACCAGAGTTATTTTGGAATCCATTAGTCTTACCTAATTTCCTCTTCACAATCTTCACTGTTGCATCAGTCATACAGTGAACTATCAATCTACTGGTCATTAGACGTTTGACGAGGAGAGGCGCCTAATTCACCCCAGTCAACCCCCCTCATTTGGGATCACGCTTCTACCAAGGAAAATACAATCACGGAGGACGAACCAGATGTCAAACATCACTCTTCGACATCTTTAGCGGATCAACGAATGATCATAATAACTAATCTTATTGTGAATCCGAAACAAAGCGTTATTCGTCGCTATTCTTTGTTTCAACTTCTTGATTCTCAAAATAGTTTGTTTGGTTAATACTCGTGATACTCGTGAGTTGTATCTTTTCTTTGTGTATTCTTGTATTAAGTATACGTTCTCGCCAAATTGCTCATTCTTCCCCCTCCTTTCGCTCTCCCCTTTGCTCATATCAAAAATTATTCACTTTACGTTTTCTTTCTCTCTATTGTCATTACAACAATAAAATTAATTTCTCGCTTCGGACATCTTCGGAAATCAACAATAGAAACAATAGAGCAAGGTTCTCTATTATGACTCCTTAATACACTCATTAATTATTCACAATATCTTTCTTCACCACAACCTCAAGGTTCTGTAGTCAAGTCGACTTTCGTACTTCCTACAACATATTCAATCCCTTCCAAGAGACTTTAAACTTTCTTTTCAATACGTCGAACTTCTCTTTTACTCAAAAATCAACTCAACCATCAGCCTGCATAGATTGCATAGACTTCACTGCACAACTGCAAACTCCTAATACGAACCTTTACCCTGGAGGTAATTCAATACAAGATAGATTGCTAAGATGGATGCTTTTAAAGGCTACATAGCTACTCAGAAGATCCAACATTCTCACGCCCCTTCCAACGATTCTTCCATCAACAGCAGCCACGAGATGCACCCTTACGGTGTCCATCGAAATATAAATGCCGCACCTGCCGATGACTACTATACACCATACCTCGGTCTTCGAGCGCGCCTATCACAGACATGGATCAACAGATGGACAATTCTCTTACTACTTATCATCGTTCGGCTCCTTATTTCTTTGGCTGGTATTAAAGGAGATATCGCATCAGCTAAAACCGAAGCGTTATCAGCCTGTAGTAGTGTTGAGAATGTCGGAAGTGCTATGGCTTCTATGCCCCATTATCTCTCTCAAGGTGTTAACAGTATGGCCGCTGCTGGTATTACAAAAGCTGTTAATGGTATGATGCAAATGCTATACATGAGTCTCACTGGTGTCGAAGAAATCGTTCTCTTCGTCATTCACATGATGACCTCAACATACATGTGTCTCATCACCTTGGCTATCACCGGTAGTCTTCAAGTCGCTATACAAATGATCGAAGACGTTGGCGCTTTCATGAACAAGTCTATCAATGCTATCACCGGTGACATGTCTTCTGGGCTCAAATCATTTGAAGATGATCTCAATGGCTTCTTATCGAAGATCAATATTGGTGGTATCTTTGGAAGCAGTACTTCACCGCCAAAAGTCGACTTTAGTAGTGAGATCAGCAAACTCAATTCCATTCAAATTGACCCTACGACTATGGATGCCGATCTCGCCAAACTCAACGCATCCCTTCCAACGTTCGATCAAGTCCAAAACTTCACCGATAACATCATCAAGCTTCCATTCGAAGAGGTAAAGAAGCTCGTGAATGAATCAATGATCGCTTACAAGTTTGATGAGTCAGTCTTCCCAGTTCCTCAAAAGAAAGCCTTGACATTTTGTTCCGACAACACCGCCATTCAAGACTTTTTCGTTGGTCTTGTTAAAACCCTCGATACCGCCAAGAAAATTATGCTCATCGCCCTCCTCGTCGCTGCTATCCTCGTTTGCATTCCCATGGCCTACCGCGAAATCTGGGGTTGGCGCAGCATGCAAAGACGAGCCGCCTTACTCAGGAGTCGAAATTATACTAATGAGTTGGATATTCTCTATCAAGCTCATCGTCCCTATACTTCACAGTTCGGTCTCAAACTTTCAAGGAGGTTCAAGAGCCAAAAGAATCAAATCTTGGCAAGATGGTTCATTGCATATGCTACATCTATCCCAGCACTTTTCGTTTTGGCACTCGGGTTGGCGGGTCTCTTTACCTGTCTCTGTCAATACATTATCTTGAAAACCCTCGAAAAAGAAATCCCGGCGCTCGCAGCCGAGGTCGGAGACTTTGCAGAACATGTCGTCAAGGCTTTAAATAATGCATCGGAATCATGGGCTTTAGGGGCCAATTCTGTCATCAATAATACAAACACGGAAATCAATCATAATGTTTTTGGATGGGTTAATACGACAACAGGAGCTATCAACGAAACCTTGAATGTTTTCACTGATGAGATGACCAGTGCTCTCAATGTTACATTTGGTGGTACTATCCTCTACAAACCTATTATGGGTGTCTTTGAATGTTTGGTCGGACTCAAAATTGCGGGCATCGAAAAGGGTCTTACATGGGTTAGCGACCACGCTCATGTAGAATTCCCCGAATTCCAACCAGACGTCTTTTCACTCGGTGCAGCTGCCTCTCTCACAAATTCAACGGCAGACGACAATTTCCTCGCCAACCCTGCTACTAGCACCACAGATGAAATTACAGAGGCTGTGGTTAAGGTGGGAAAGAAATTGGAAGCGGTTATAAGACAAGAAGCTCTCATTTCTACCTCACTCGTTATTCTCTATTTCACCATCGTTCTCATCGGGTTGATCCGTGTGATAATTGGCATGTGTGGAAGAGATAAATCGCGCGCGGAAGGTGGCTCAGCACCGAGTACACTTTATCGCCGTGCCGATGTTGAGGCTCGCAATCAACGCCTGCCGGAGATCTCACAGGAGAAATTCGGTACCGGTGGAAACGATGGTTGGCATCAGGAACATATGAGGGCAGGTGGGGATTCGATAACGCGAATGCCATTTGGAGGAGGTGATGGTGCTGCAGATGATCTTCCCTATAATGGTACCCCGGTGCCAACATACGAAGCATCAATTGCACCGACGGAGCGATTGAGAGTAGTTCCTACAGGGAGAGTTAACACGAATCGGGGACCATGGGTCAGAGATGCGAAGTCTCAAGAGTTATGGGAGGCGGATGATATGCAGATGAGAGCGACGAGTAGTTATGGACATTTGGAAGGAGAAGATGAGAAATCATCTGGATGGGGTGCCCCGCCGAGAAGAATTTGAAAGCTGGGTCTTTCTTGTGAACGGGATACGAAACGACTTTATGAGAGAGAGATAGATATGATTATTACATACATACGCACATAGGCATAGCATGTGGATTTAATGAATACACATTAGAGAGACGATGGGTTGAATCAATAGGAACGGAAGGCATGACGAAATAACCTGTTTAGAGATTTGTATAGAGTAATTTTAATTTCGCCTGATATCACACATTCATACATATATACATTCATACATGTCTACTGAGAAATTCTCTACTGAACAACCGCCAAACTGTGATGTTTCAAAGTTTGGAAGTAATCAGGTATTGTTACGGTATATATTCTTTCATTCATTCATCTATCCCATTTTTCTAGACTTATTGACGTCGACTTTTAGTCGTATGTAGTAGAGAAATATATTATCTTCTAATTTCTAAAAGGAAGTTATACAGATCGTTTATTATCTATAGTTAAACTACAATATTGAAACTTATTTGATGGAGTAGAGTAGACTAGACTAGAGTAAACTTTCTCACCTTACTCAAGAAGTCGAAAGATATCCCATAGACTTCTTCGCAGATCGATCGATTGATCGATCGGTATGGATATATATATAGTATATATATACATATATAAATATTTTTATTTTTATTTTTATTTTTATTTTTATTTTTATTTTTATTTTTATTTTTATTTTTATTTTTATTTTTATTTTTATTTTTATTTTTATTTTTATTTTTATTTTTATTTTTATTTTTATTTTTATTTTTATTTTTATTTTTATTTTTATTTTATTTTTATTTTTATTTTTATTTTTATTTTTATTTTTATTTTTATTTTTATTTTATTTTTATTTTTATTTTTATTTTTATTTTTTTTATTTTTTTATTTTTATTTTTATTTTTATTTTTATTTTTATTTTTATTTTTATTTTTATTTTTATTTTTATTTTGTTTTTGTTTTTATTCTTAGTCTTAATCTTAGTTTTATATATTTACTATATTCGATATTTATTTTTTTATTCATCTATATATACGAAATAGAGAAAATATAGAAAATATTTATAGATAGTTACGATATGTATAAATATAATAATCGGAATTATAATTCTGATTCTAGTTCTGATTCTGATTCTAATTAGATATCTAGTTTATCTAGTTTAATTAAAATTTAACAAGTAATCAAGTATAGAAATTCCTATTCATGAAATTAATTTATTTATCTATTTTACATACATTATATATAAACCTCCTCCCTCTCAATTACAAAAGAAAGAAAGAAAGAAAGAAAGAAAGAAAGAAAGAAAGAAAGAAAGAAAGAAAGAAAGAAAGAAAGAAAGAAAGAAAGAGATAAGAAAAATAAATAATTATGATTATAATTATAGAATTCTATATACTTTTACGAGAAAAATTTAATGATTGAATCTAGATACCTACTAAAATAAATACATAAATGGAATGGTATCACTAATAATACTATAATGAAATGTAAATGTAATCTATGATATCCATATATATAGCACAAGACCATGCATCTACCGTGGCAAATGCTCTTGAACTCCTGTTACCGTACCATTGTCCCATCTTTAGAACTCCCTAAAAGGTGGAATTGTATGAAAGTCTGCCTTTACCCAAAGGAAAATCGTAAACCCAAAGGAAAAAAAGACATCATTTTCATGATTTGTCAAGACCCTCTATCGACCGACCCATCGACCCGTTAACCCATAAGCCCATCCACCATCAACTTATTCACCCCCTCACTCCCTCGTAAATATCTTCCCACTCTCCATTTCAATATCACTTCCAGCACTCACTCTCTTCAATTGTTCCGTTCCTTCGTGCCCGCTTCTAAACTTAAAGTTTGCTTCCGACCACGCCCCTTTCATGGCAATTCCCGGATGCAATAGCGTAAGTCCCCCAACCGCAAGAGTGATCATCACACCTTCCAAAATCATGAACTCGACTTCATGACTAATGAAAAGAGGGCCATTGAAGCCACCCGATAGTTCTATACATCTGTAGATGGAACGAACGAGGATGGTAATTGTCGCGAGGCAAAGTCCGCCGAGGAAGGATTTAAAGAGAGCGGAAGAAACGAGATCGATGTAGCGAGCATTCCAAGCGCCTTGTGCGCGGCGAACTCTCCATGCGAACTCAGTGCAGAGGATGGCGAAGAGGATGAGAGAAAAGACTTGGAAAGCGAGACCTGCTAACATGATATTTTTGCCCAAATCTTTATCGTCGAGTGTGTCGGCAGTTGAAGCGATGGCGCCACCAACGGCTTGGAGCACGAGGGAGATAACATCACAGGTGCAGAAGATGATGGTGTATGTTCCTGGTTTGAAGCGAGAGATTTCTTGGCCGTAAATAATGACAATTCGAGACAGACAAAGGTAAATTCCTGCGGTGAGGAAAGCAGGGGCGATGGTTAGACAGATGAGATACATTAGGAAGTAATCGTTATCGAAAGGATAGTTATTAATAAGAACTCTAGCAATATAACCGATGATTTCGAGGATCTAATGAACGAGAAAGTTAGTCTTGTAATCTTAAACTTTGTTTGTATTCATATTCAATCCTAATTAAACTGTGGGGTGGACATTGTCAAGTGTAGAACATACCAATCCAAGAATGATAGCAACCATATATCCCCATATTTTGAACTTGATTCCTAGAGCCAACTGTGCAATACAGAATACCCCGAACAAACCGGCGTATATGGTATTTCCAACCACGGTTGGCCGATACTCGAAACTTGACAAGGAAAGATCACAAGTGTCAAGTGTACACAAGCCTGGATTCATAAGTAAAGTCGCATTGCCGTAACCACCACCATTTCCATCCGAATGAGTCAAATTTGACATTTTGATATCGGTTGTGAAGCGAGGGCTAAGGAAGGGAGGGAAGCAATCAAAGTTACTTTGAACTGAAGAAACAACGAGAATGGAAAGAGAGGAGAATGTTTGGAAAGATGATTGCAGCTTGACATTTTGAGCTTGAGAGGCTTCCAGTTACCTTTAATATTTCCAACAGCAGGCAGTGCAAATTTGTAGATAATGTAGATGTCGGCATTACGGACAATTTTGAGTGCGAGACATACGACGACAACACGGTTATGCCAATGATATCGACAAAGGTGCTTATGTCAGCCATGAGGTAAGCAAATTGATAACTGTGATTGGTTCCATCGTAGAATTGAATTGAAGACTAGCCATCCAAGATCCAGTTTTTAAGGTTAAATCCTTCATGAAGCCATTTCATTTCTTCATGTCAAAGAAGATAAATAGATCGTACATATTACTGGTAGGGATCATATATTGCAAGGCTGAAATTGATGCAGTTGCAGGAAGATTTGGAGCAATATGAAGCGCCATCAGGAACGATCATGAAATTGGTACAGAAATGGAACTATCCATGCCATCCATGGACCCTTTCCTAAAGACTGCTCTCAAGCCATCTCTGACGTTTAAAAAAGACTCGAGGTACTTGAATTTAGAATGGAAGAATCTGATTTGAGGATCAAGAGCACTTGCTTTTTGTTTTGCTATCTGGCATGGCCTTGTCATCAATAAGCCACTCGTAACTGGACCCAACTCTGGACATTACGTCAAAAGGATCACCGGTGGGTTGTGCTTTCTTCCAAAGGGCGAATTTCATCAATTTTTGGCAGTTTTTGGAATTGCTGACCAAGCAAAAATAAACGCCAATGCCATAAATGTAAATGATTTTCAAAAGGTCACTCCTCATACTTCGGAAGAGGCAATGCCATAAATATGTAAATGCTTTTCAAAAGACCTCCCCTCATACATTTGTATGTCAAATACAGCAGACGATCAATGGACTGAAGAGTCCAAATTCAAACATCTTTCTTGCCTCTCCGTTAAATGAAATCGGGTGTTGGAGCCAAGAGATCACCGGTGCTCGCACATGCCATGAATATTGATTGATACACATACAATAACGGTTGGTCATCTCCTCATCTCTTGTGTGACCCCATCTGAAATGGATTGTGGAGATTCAACGAGTTATCAATCGACGTCAACTTTGGAATGGTAAGAGCAACCAACTCTGAGAGCAAGAAAACACAACGCACGCACATCAAATCGAATTTAGCTTGAGGTATGGTTGGGCGCAAAAGATAGGCGAACGAGAGGTGAATCGGCCACCGTCAGGTGTATGCAGTTTTGGCTGGCTGAGACGATAATTAGTATTGACTCGACCTGCGGTGGAAGTTTGCCAATATGGACGATGGCGACCTGGTAACACGATGAACTACCAACACTTTGGTCTGTCACCCCGAGAGAGCACTATCTAATGAATTTGGATAACGCAAGCGCCCATCAACTGCTGGAAACTCGGTCCCGATACAATTTTGCTACCAATCACGACCTCTCCAATGATTTCTTGTCGAGGCACAGCGCTAGGAAGAAAAGTATTGTGTAGTGTGATCCGCCAAAAAAAGAGAAGGCAAGGTAGGTAGGACAATATATATTATATTATTGTTGCCATCAAAATTGGACAGAAATGCAATGCAATGAATGTAACGTGATGATAAAATGGAAAGAGCTCTCTAGTCGACGATAAGTTAAAGACTGTACTGTTCTGTACCTAGCTTCATGCAGCTTTATACAACTTCATATAGCTTCCTGGTAAGCTTTACCTTTTATACAGCAATCAAGCAATTAAGCAATGAAGTGGCAAACTTTAAACATTCTCGAGGCATTCAAAAGGGATTCAGATCAGAGCATTCAAGCATTCAAGCATTCAAGCATTCAAGCGTTTAAGCGTTCAAGCATTCAAGCATTCACCGACTTCACCGACTTTCCCAATGCAACATTAATGCAACAAGATGACTAAGAAAATGGTTCAAGCTTATCGCACGTGATGACCATCAACCGTTACTAACAAATGAAAATCTAGTGGTCCGATTTCGCTCTTCACCACAGGTGGAGTGTAAAAACTGTAACATCTTTTATGCATCTTTTATGCATTATGCATGTTGTGTATCTGCATAACCCTACACACCTCTAAATTCACTAACAAAAAAGAAAAAGAAGAGCGTCAGAGTCAGAGTCATACCTCATTCGAAAGATTTTCCTTGGAAAGCATAAATACCTTCTTCTTCTTGTACATGAGAAATTTTCTTTCTTCCCTCTCTTGTTTGAATCAATTCACCTTATCATCACATCAATTGAACACATTATCAACCTTGGTTTTTCGTCTACATATAATTCTTCTATTGTCTAACCACATTCTATCCATCTTAAGAAGAAGCAGAAGAAGAAGACTTCAATTCCTTTGAAAGAACCAACAACAAACACAACTCTAGAGTTTTTTCTCTTTCCTCCCCAACCTCAATCAACCATCATAAAAGCTACTCAATAACGTCACAATGTGTCCTTCCTGTGAGCCAGAGCAGGCTTTAGAGACTATTGCCGCTCATGCTAATGGCAATGGCACTACTTCTAATGGATCAAATGGTAGTGCGCATACCTCTCAGTCTCCATTGTCGATATCAATACTAACATATCATTTCTAGCTCACCCAGGATACACAGCCATTGAGACCAAGAAGAACCCACATCCAGCCAAGAGAGATAACCCATATCAACCCGTCGGCGATTTCCTCAGCAATATCTCAAGTTTCAAGATCATCGAAAGTACTTTGAGAGAAGGTGAACAATTCGCCAATGCTTTCTTTGATACCGAGAAGAAGATTGAAATTGCCAAGGCATTGGACGATTTCGGTGTCGACTACGTGAGTCGATTGTCATTTGTAGAATTCTATGAGGTAAATTATACTAATAAAGAATTCGCAGATCGAATTGACTTCACCAGCTGCTTCAGAACAATCAAGAGCTGATTGTGAAGCTATCTGCAAGTTGGGATTGAAGGCTAAGGTTGGTACCAGTCTCCGCACACGGAAATCCATACTAACTCTCACAGATTCTTACTCACATCAGATGTCATATGGATGATGCAAGAATCGCAGTACAAACTGGTGTTGATGGAGTGTAAGTTTGATTTTTCTCCCGCAGAATTATCACCTCTAACATGTCTCAGTGATGTCGTTATCGGTACCTCATCTTATCTTATGGAACACTCCCACGGAAAGGATATGACCTACATCAAGAACACCGCTATTGAAGTCATCGAATTCGTCAAGTCACACGGCATCGAAATCAGATTCTCTTCCGAAGATTCTTTCCGATCCAACCTCGTCGATCTCCTATCAATTTACTCCACTGTTGACAAGATCGGTGTTAACCGTGTTGGTATTGCTGATACCGTTGGATGCGCTTCACCAAGACAAGTTTACGATTTGATCAGAACCCTTCGTGGTGTCGTCAGCTGTGATATCGAAACACATTTCCACAATGATACTGGTTGCGCTATCGCAAACGCATACTGCGCTTTGGAGGCTGGTGCTACTCACATCGATACCTCCGTTTTGGGTATTGGTGAGAGAAACGGTATTACCCCTCTCGGTGGATTGATGGCTCGTATGATTGTCGCAGACCGTGAATATGTCATGGGCAAGTACAAGCTCCACAAGCTCAAGGATATTGAAGATTTGGTCGCACAAGCTGTTGAGGTTAACATTCCTTTCAACAACTACATCACTGGTTTCAGTGCTTTCACCCACAAGGCTGGTATTCATGCCAAGGCTATCCTCAACAACCCATCTACCTACGAAATCATCAACCCAGCCGATTTCGGTATGACCAGATACGTTCACTTTGCATCTAGACTTACTGGATGGAACGCTATCAAGTCTCGTGCCAATCAATTGAACATCGAGATGTCCGATGAGCAATACAAAGAGTGTACTGCTAAGATCAAGGCCCTTGCCGACATTCGGTCCATCGCAGTTGATGATGCCGACTCGATCATTCGTGCTTTCCACAGACAAACCAAGACCGGCAAAGCTGTTGAGCTTTTGCCCAACATGACTGAAGAGGAGAAGGTTTTGTTGGCCAAGAAGGAAGCTGAGATTGCTGGTGTTCCCGAGAAGCGCAAGTTGGATGAGGTTGCCGAAAGTCAAGCTAAGAAGGCTAGAAATGACGTTTCCGCTTAAATGAAGAGAGGATGAGATGATATCTCATTTGAACCACATCTTGTCTGTTAGGGGGTAGCTGAATTCTTCCCAGACAAGATGGATCTAAAGGAAAGTAGTTGAAATCTTCCTAGATCTCGGTCCAAAGATGATTGAAATCTCCCTCTTGGATACTTCATTTATCGAAACAAAATGGCGGGCTGAAAAGTTGCTTGTGCTATTTGATATTTCTTTCCTTTTTAAAGTTGATGATTTGGACGGCCTTTGAAAAGATTTCGCGGGATACACACTTTTTGCGAGCTTTGCTTTGGGTTTGATAAATATTCAGTTGTAGCATTACATCATACAGTTGGTATGAATTGAGGAAGGCACATTGCTTTCTTCGATAGTTGGCGGAAATACAATTCTATGGAATTGCATGGATTTTTATGAAATTGTGACCGAGCTATCATTGTGATTGTATCTATGTGACATGATGTGAAGTGCGAATTCAAGTAAACTGCTGAAAGAATAAGTCTTGGGATCAACTTCGTGTTGTGCGTTTAATGGCATGGATTTCCTACGTATTCAAGCTGCACAAAACCTATAATCGTTTCCATCAAGTATCGAAAGATTTCATCAAAAAATTAATCCATTCATTCATTGGTTTCAATTATTAGCACCCTGAAATATGACCACCCCATTTCATCACATTGTAGCAAAGTTTCATATCCGATCTGTCCAATTCTTCCATCCCCACAAATTAATCTTCTTTTTATTCGACATAAACCTTCCAGCCCTTACAAGACAGCAACGACACCCAAAACCGCTCCCATCAATCCTCCCACCATCTGAACACCCATAGTAGGCGCCGCGTTTGTTGTAACCGCAGCGGGTGAACTTGTAGATGAAGATGCAGATGCAGTTGCCGAGCTGGACGCCGAAGAAATAACTGAACTGACTGAGCTCGATGCCGAAGAAATAGCTGAACTGATTGCTCCTCCGGGATTCGACGATGTCAGTGCAGTACCGGTTGCGCTTGCAGTAGACGATACGCTGGTGTTGGTAAGAATGCTCACAACACCGCCTGGATTGCTGGAGCTCAATGCACTTCCTGTCGCGCTTACATCTGCAGTTGTTGAGCTTGCGAGACCTCCGGGATTCTCAGATGTAATGGCTTGGGTGGTAACGCTTCCCGTGACTGCGGTGGCAGAAGCGCTGAATGCTGAGCATAGAGCAAAGCCGACGCTAGCGGCAGAAGCGAGTTCGTCGACGTTGCAGGCGGAGATGAGACAGGGGGTTACGGCGGTTTGGATGGCGGCTTGTGCGGTGCCGCATTGGCAGGCTTGGTCGTTGGCTCCGCAGCCGGCGACGGAGATGGCGCTTTGGAGACAGGTGACCTGGGGTGGGTAGGTTAGTGGAAGGGACATATGTTTATGGAGGGGGGGATGGAAAGTGTAGAGGGAGAAGGAGCGAAAGGAGAGAAGATAGAATAGATGGTGAGTGATGGATATTGATAGAGAGGGGAAAAGAGTGCAAGGGAACTTACAGCGCAAGCAGGTTCAGCACCGAAGTTCTGTGCAGATACAGCGATGAAAGTTCCTGCGATGGAGAAAGCGGTTGAGAACTTCATTTTGATGATGATCCTGTTGTACAGAGATTTCGATAGTTCTTTCGATAGTTCTTTTCGTTATCTTGTAATAGATTTGTTTATGAGGATAACTTTTCAATCAATCGATCTCAAAGAATCCAACCTTATTTGTTTAACTCGTAAGTCAATCACTTGATCAAAACAACAGTGAATGAAGATATATATCGAAACACGTAAACACACGACAATCAAGAAATGATGACAGAAACCGAAGTGAATTTCCTCCAAAACACACAATAGCAACAGGGACCTTTTTAACTCCCCCAAGCACGAGAGCTACCCTAGCACGCCTCGCCGCGGGGAAATACGATGAACAGGGAAGCAACTTGCCGTTCCATCATAGTGCAGGTTTTATATATAGATGGTCGATGTTTCTTGGATGGAATAGGAAGCTCGAATTGAGTTTTGTGGTTGGAGGGTGAGGGTCCGGCTATTGTTCCTTCCTTTCTACGATACCTTTGAGGGGTTTTATTTGATAGGTTGGGTTGGGTTGGGAAGGTTAGTTAACCTTATTGGATCTTGGGAGGACTGTGCGATTGGAAGCTGGGAAGTAAGTAGTGATTCTTTTGGAATAGTTGTGAAAAGCCACGAGAATTCTGGATTCTTTCGATGGGAATTGAAGAGGGATTGATTCGTAACTACGTATGGAAATCACGAGGGGTGAGGCACGAGAAAGGTACGAGGAAGGTAAGGTTACGATGTTTTGATTTTGATCTCCATTGCACTTTTTGATATCTTGGCAATCTTTCCCGGAGAATCCACACACCCATGAACCAGCGGAATTCATCAACACACGGTACACACCCAGTCACAGTCAGGAAGTAGCTAGTAGGTCCACGGGTACCCAGATATTTCATTGTAGGACCCATCACGATCATCACAATCCCTCCAGTAACCTTATCAAGCACGCGTTTCCTTCATCTAATTCCTCCACCACATATCACCCTTTTCCTTTCAACCTTCCTCTCTTGAAATGGCTCCTTTGAAAAAAAGAAGAAAAACGTGAAACTTAAAAAATGCACCTCCTAAAGATGGTAATTCTGGCCAGCTATCTTGGCGGAGTCTGTGATTCACACGTGGCGTCGTTAGGTGTGCGCCCAGCCATCTTTTTCGTGTTGGCAAACTTACACCATTCATCGTGTTGCTTGCGATGGAGAGCTGGTGGTGAGAGATGGTCGTTCGTGTTTGTGATGTGGATGATGATTGGTTGGGGTTGGGTCGATATCCTAGATAATAATCAATTTCTCAAATGGCGTGAATTCACAGGCAGCTATCTATTCGAAAGTTCAAGGAAGTGTGAAACAACGAGGTGATTTGGATACCGACACACATGAATGCGACAAGTTGTCGTGAGATTTAGAAAATACGATATTGCAATTGGATTTGATTTCTTGAATGACACCACATAGTTTCAATATTTGAGAACTTCGAGTGGTCAGATATCCATTTATTAGATAGACGCAATCCAGGAAAAGACCCCGGCTAGAACACCACCGCCATGGGGTGGACAATGGTGCGAGAGAGATTTTGTCCTTCCTATCTATCAAAGTTAATGTAACTAATAAATCACCGCTTTCTACCAAATCTATTTTCGGGAACTTAGGACTCGAGTAGTACTCATCCTAATATCAGTCAGGACTGCCCTGCATCATTATGTGGAGGGCACAGCCTCTCTCAAGCAAAATTGACCTCTTGACGTCGTAAGCAGATGTTGGTGGTGATTTCTGCCCAGCTTCGTTCTGTCTTGGCATCTAGTTCCGTGGCTATCTCTGGCTCTTGCTTCTAAGATATCACCGCTTTCTTCCTCGACAATATGTCTCTCATCCTTCCCGTTCTGAAGCTCAACTAAGCGTCCCCCTGATACCTCTTTGTCCATGAAGTCATCCGCATCAAGCTCAAGAGAAGGAATAGGAATATCTGGATCCAACACCATCTCTCCCAATTCCATAGTATCTTCTTTTCCCGTACCGATATTCATTCTTGGCGAACAAGTCTCCCCATCAGTCTCAATGGAAGGGATAGGAGTATCTGGATCACTTATCCCCTCACCCACCTTCACCTCCCCACCCCTTTCCTTTCCCACACTGCTACCCACTCTCCAGCAACAAGACCCCCCAGATTGCACCCCGTCAACACATAAACACACCCCCTTCCTCTGGCTCTCCAACCCCTCACTCCCCCCCAACATCGACAGTAACATCCACACTGTCCACAATCCCCACACATCTCACCTGCACAAACCCTCCGTCGATACCAAGACCCCCTATATCTCCCCGGAAAGCTCATCCTTTCCGCAATCTCAGAACCATATTCTCGTCCCACATCTTCGCAAGCACAACGATGTAAGAGTTGGGGCCATCGCTCACCGCACAGGTAACGCTTTTCCAGCTAAAATACAGGATTATTCATCTTTTTATACCCTAGTTTATTTACTATAATGGGAGATAAAATTAAGAATTATACTATAAAAGTACTCAGAATCATTGGAATTGTTTAAAAAAAATATATCGTTTATTTTTAAATATTTTTATAATAGTATTTTTAAAGGGTTAAAGTTGGAAATTCAAAAAACTTTGAAAAATTTGCTTATTTTGTATGAGAAAAGCGTTACAAGTTAAAAATTCTAGGATTTTTCAATTAAAAGCTTATATAATTATTCAATAAAAATATTTAAAAATAAATTAGAAAATTTCTTATATATACAATGATTCAAATTATTCACTATCAAGTTTTTATAATTTAATATCAACAATTGAATCAATTATATAGTATTTTAGTTTATATGGAAAAACATGAATTTTGTAGGGATTATGTCACAAAACGTCACGGTGTGTGGTGAGTGATGGCCATAACTCTTATGTATTAGCTATGATATCCTCTTTATGGTTGATAATCGTACAAACAACAGTAATGAATATACATACTTTCGCGCTATAAGAATTTATCAGTCATGTATATTAAAAATGGTCCGTGTGGAGGCGCATCGGGATACTGTCTCGCGAGGTGAGAGTGTCTGGAATTCCACGTCGTGTTATATTGACGCGTTGCTGTATTTTTGCTTTGGGAGTCCAAGGCCCGGTGAGGACGCCAGTTGTATTGGGGATGGTAGTGAGGGGCTTGGGGGTCGCTTTGAGAGGGGTGGGGTTTGAAGTTTTTGGCCATGATGTGTGATGCTTGCTTTGCTTTATAGGCTGGTAGTGTTTGGTGTTCCGTTTGTGAAAGAGGGGAGATGAGGAGAGGAGAGTTATTGATGTTTTATTCTATATGCGCTAAAGTCTTGATGTTTCGAGGAGAGAAACGAAAAGGTCGGAAGTTGTGAATGATGATACCCTTTATATCTTCAATTGTAGATACCTGTTTGATGTTGCAAGAGGTTATCGGTGAATATCTGTGAGCACGAGTTTTTAATTTCAATTCACTTGGTCCCGTTGTCTATATCTCTCCTTTCAATTCGAGATGAATGCCTCCAAAGAACTTACACACTCCAAATGATCGATCTTGCATGAGAGCTGGATGAAGTTTCTAGTGAAAGTGAGATCCGTCGTTTAGAAAATTCTTTTCTGGAACCATTGCTTCATGCGTCGAGGTGACTGTAGCAAACTTTTCGCTGCCATCAGCCACCTTTCAACAGCATACTTTCGGTGGAAATTATCCAAGAACTAGTACCTCTCTCTTCCTTTTATATTTGTTGTCAATCTGGATACATATAAGGTCGGCCAAAGATTAGTGATATGCGTTCCCTGATATAGGCCTGGCAAGCGTCTCTTCGTCCATGTATACTATGTAAAAATCAGACAAAGAATTGAAAAATCTTGCAGACGAAGGAATACTATTAGTGATAGAGCTATGTAAAGTAATTAATTAACAAAATTTCTTAAAAGCTTGTTTATGACAGCGATATTACCACTTTCCTAGCAGAAACGCCTTTCCTCTGTATTTCTATTCCCTTTTCTACAGATTCCAAACCATTCCCAACAACCATAGCCTCAGGAGCGGCAACAAAAACGCCTTTCTCCAACGCCTCCGAAAGGAAGTCCCCAAAGATTGCCTTGCCTACGCCATTCATTGCCACAGTTGAGCCGTCAACGAATGCGTTGTCAATTCCTCTGACCATCTTCTTAATTTGATTGGAAATTATCCAAGGAACGAATGTACATATAACTTTCGGAAGTATGAATCTTTTTGGTGGTGGAAATGGTACGGGGTAAGTCATCATTGAAAGGAACTTCCTCCCTCTACACTTATTGAGGATATCCATGCATGCATCAGCAGCCCCCTGTCCTATTGACACCGCACCAGCGGTAGTCTTGCCTTTAAATGCATTTATAATATCAGGAATGGCAGTCTTGCTATTGTAATCAAAGACTTGACTTGCACCAAGTTTCTTTAAAAGGTCGAAGTTTCTGGGAGATGAGGTAGAGAATACTTCGTAACCAGCTGCGACGGCTAATCTGAGGTTTATTGTTAATATGAGATCATTGAGGGAATGAAGGAGATAACAAATGCAGAATAGACTTACTGTATAGCGTTAACGCCGACACTGGTTGAACCACCCCAAATAAGTACAGTCTCCCCCGTAGATTTTGGGGACAACGATGGCAATTCTAGCGCCAACTGGTCCTTTTGAAAAAGCCCGGCAGCTGCGGTAGAAAGTGCCAAAGGTACCACACAAGCTTGCTCATAAGATAGTGTATGCGGAATGTGCGAAGCCATATTATCCAAAAGGATAGTATAGAGTTGAAAGCCACTTTGCGTCAGGACATTGGATGATTCCGTGAGACCCATTGCCATACCTGTAACACGATCTCCAACCTTAAATCGTGTAACTTCTGAGCCAATTTCAACCACTTCTCCCGAAACATCATATCCAGAAATCAATGGATATTTCGCCCACGGAAACATAAGACTGCCCATATCTTGCTTGATCCAATCTACCGGGTTCACGGCAACAGCTCCATTTTTAACGACAATTTCATTCTTCAGAGGTCGAGTATAGGGCGCAGGTCTAACCTCCAGCTTGCCAGATAGTTCCAACCATAATGCGGAATTTTGGGGGGAAGTCATTGGGGGAGACATGCTAGTGGGACGTCTGAGCGAGGAGAGGATTTAGAGTTTCCGGATGCGATAGATGTCGTTTTTGACGGAGATGATCGGTATGAATCTGAGATTGAGTACCTAGTATCAAGAGCTGATTGATATAAGAAAGAGATGTGCTAAAAACTGATTGCCCATCCTCAAAACGAGCATACAATGAAAGATACTTATACCCATTTCTTACCATTGCTGCGGACTTCCAATCATCAACAGGAGTGGAGAATTCCATTCCATTTTGTCCGATTCTTCACCCAAATTACAACTTCTATGCGATATCCTTCAGAAATCGTTGGCAGATAATGTTATCACTCTATCACAATGCGAGATGAAGTTAGTATGTTTGGAAAGCCAGAGCGAAATGCGAAGAACGTGTGTATGGAGTAGAGACGTTTTTAAAGTTTTAGTGGAACTGAATTGAGGGTTAAAATACTAGTATTTGATTGGTCCAATGACTAAAATAGCTTAGGGTGGAATTGTGAATGCGAATGAAGGTTAGCGTCCCATGAGTTATCCGAAACTTACTAGGTGTTTGTTTATCCGACTCCGAAGAATGCACATGGGGAGACCGTCAGACTGGGAAAAATGTGAGAGAATCTACCTTCGACTTCAAGATCTTGTTGTACCTTGTCGTGCTTTTTTATATGTTATGCAGATCTGAAATTGATCAAATATTATTGAAATTCGACGCCGATCATAGAATACCATCATGGCTTGCCTGGTTGACGATTGACCTAACATGAACCCTTCCCCCTTGACCCGTCCAAACAAGCTGCTATCTCGCAGAATATCCATAAGCAGCATATCGTGAACTGCGCATACTCCTTCTTCTCTTTCTAGACCTTACACTATCTCTTGGGCCATGCAATAGAGTCTCTATTTTTAAGGGCCTTACGTTCGATAAATCTTCAATTACTCTAGAATCATGACAGCCCCCCTCTCGATATCCGGAAAAGGAACCCACCGGACGATAAGACCACACAAAAAATCACGTCGTGGATGTGGAAACTGTAAGTTGAGAAAAGTCAAGGTATGTCCAAGTTCTTGTCCCATCTCTAGGGAATATGTTTAACTCGTCGCCTGTAGTGTGATGAGGATAGACCAAAGTGTAAACGGTGTGCAGAATTCAATGTTCTCTGCAATTACGACAACCAAACTTCAGCACTTCAACTACTTAAGAAGTCTTTTACCTTCGAGACTCTTCAGCAAAGACTTCCCTATTCATTAAACCAAACAGTCCCAAGCTTTATTAGTTCGCGGCTGAGAACTCCCGGAAAGATTGATGTATACGATTTGAGCGACCAAGAACATTTGGAGTTATTGAATAAGTTTCAAACGAGAACTGTTTACTCTATAACAACGAGTAGGAATCTTCAGATATATCAAAATGAGTTCATCAAGCTATCATGTCTGGTATGTTGAAACATAAATTTCCACTGATCTTCTACTGACCCACTACAGCATCCATACTTGATGCACGCTCTACTCACATTTACGCTAATGCATGACCGACACATCTCTATTGAGCACAGTATAAGAATGTCTTCTCGAGAAGCCTTTCATTGGTGTCAAAGTGTATCATTATTCAGCAAAAAATTGGCATCCGGAGCAATTGAATCTTCATCAGAACGCGATGCTTTATGGGCAACTTCCGTTCTTCTTGGCATAATTGCATTTTGCAATATTGAAGCAGCGAGTCCAGAAGAAGCTTGGCCTTTGAAACCACCTTCATCTCTAGATCTGAATTGGTTAACGATGAGCTATGGGAAGTCTGAAATTTGGAAATTGGGTCTGGACCAAAGTGCGAGCGCATTTAAGACATTGATGGCACCCCCTTTTGAAACTTTATCACAATTCTCTTACATTCGTCTTGAGACATTGCCCCAAGCTTTCGTCACACTTCTGAATTTGTATCCCAGCTCCAAACCACATGATAACCCCTATCATCTTGCGGCATCCTTATTATCGGATATTATCGATCTTGATGATCCTATTACCGTAATTCTGAAGTTTTGGACCTTTGTCAGCAGTATGCATCCGCAATACAAAAGATTACTCTTGCAAAAAGAACCTCGCGTTCTCTTGTTACAAGCCTATTGGCTTGGAAAAGTTTGCCAATTTCCACATTGGTGGATTTGGAGGCGTGTATCACTGGAGTGTCAGGCTATCTGCATATATTTGGAAACTTTTCACAAACATGAATTGGATATTCAGACACTTCTAGTCTACCCAAAGATGGTGTCTGGGCTGACTTCTTACTGAATTATGAGTTGAGGTGGCTTCACTAATCTATTTTTAGAGATTCTGAGAGTCATCCTGACTGTGTTTGTGACGCATAGATGTCGATGGTCATGTGTTGCCACCCATACTATTAATTAATATTCTTCAATCACCACGATAGCATTTCTTCAACTTCACTGTCTTTCCCATCGTGACTGTCTTTTCTCTTTCTCCAACAAAGTTTTGCCATTTCCCTGTACACAATATTGTTTTCATGTCAGGGCGCATCCAAAGCCACTCGATTTTAATCCTGTTGTTCTCGATTTACTTGCAGACTACCAAGCAAAGCTTTATGGATATTTTGTGTCTAGGGAAACTTGCCATCCCGGAAATTCTTTTGCAAACAATTTTGAGATTGAATATCAACGAAGTATCTCGAATTCGCATTTTTATATCGATAACTACCTAATAACGGCGAAGCGCACAACCCTAAGGAGGCAGAGTATTCCAGAGCGCCCTTATTGCTCGTCGAACTCCATTCCCTTCAAGCAGTTTTCCTTCGATTCATACAATCGTTCGTCAATCATTCGAAATAGATTCACTTGTCCCTATTTCCCCCATGCGCTTTTCAAGATGAAGGTCGATATCTTTTACCTTCGCTAAGTGTAAGGGGGTCAAAGTCAATTCCTTCGGACAATACCTTTATAAAATTTCTTCTCGAGGCACCTTGCTCTTTTTCTGTTGTGTTTTTGTTCTCTCTTACGTTTTGTTGTTTCTCCTTTGTTTCCTCTTTGTTCTCTTATCTTCTACCTGTATAAAGCCTTGCTCCCGACTAAAGTTAATATCATCACCGACATCACGCCGTCACACCTGAAGACGCCAAAGCCCAAGCCATCAACAACAATATTCTGTATCCACATTCAATACGAGATTTTAGAAAACCTTGCCCGCAACAATGTGTTTCCATCCAGGCAAAGCTTCAAAAAGCAGCTACCATAAATCAGTCACTTCTAACCCAGCTCCTGTTCTTCGACATGAAATTAGTGGCTGGGTGTGTTGTTGTTGTGGCCTAGATAACGGCGGGGATTGTGTTTGGTGTGCGAGATGTACTCATTATACAGTCAATTGTGTTTCTTGTTTTTCCTATTAAGTAACCCTTCGCATTGGGCGCTTGAAAAGAGTTCGAGGGTAACAATGACTGATAGGTTTAGTGCAGGATCACTACACTAGTTGGCCTAATGAAATCCCAGTCTCCACCAATTTAATAAACTCTCAAAATTTTGTGAGTTCTCGAACGATATATACTAATTTTCGTCTTCTTTTTGCCATGTGCCAATATCCCACACTGTTTCCTACCCACTCTCGTGTTACTTATTAGCATGAACCCCGCGCTATCTTGTGCACGAATAAGTAATCCGAGCCCAATACCTACCCATAATTCCTTGATAACTCCCAACTTCAAGGCTGGAGCGAACATTTGCATGGCTGGACCGAAGTGGAACCTAAAGCCATGCCACGCATTTTGAGGCCTGGCCAACGATTTGATTCTTTGACTTTAACGTGAATTTGTCTCCGCCCGGCAATGAACGAACTGCATTTCTACTTCTCATACGATCAATCGGATAAATATGCCGAGAATTGTACCGATTTGTTTCTTCGGGACATTATACGAATCCAGCTACAGTCAGCTTTGCATATGTTCGAACTTGGTCGGTCAGGAATGAGCGAATTAGGATGACTGCTTAGTTTTCCATCACGTGTGAATCCATGGATACCTTGTTCCACTGTTTGTACCATGTGAAGTGTACAGTCACGTCAGGGCGATGACGATGATGCGGCGTAGCTTTTAATCTCGGCGTTTTTGAACACAAATCAGATCTCACACTCTTAATCTTGATCGCCCGATAAGCCTTACCGCCACTTTTGATTCTTTTGGATTAGATCAAATAACGTGGAATCGTTGGAATAAATTCCCCACAACGGCGACAAAATACAAGCGAAGAAATGAAGGATTATAATCTGGTGAGATGAAGTGACAGGTGACATAGACGTCGTACGGTGAACCATTTTTGAACACGAATGGCAATTTTGCTGGGGTATGGAGAAAATATGTGGGGATCTTGGAGAATTTGGAGAGATTGGTTGGGGTTTTGACCTCCATGGCATGGAGTAGACGGAAAGACATGGATTTGAGGTGAAGATCTCTACCTCATTGATTCATTCAACATGGAGTAGTTTCGCAATTCGGCGAAGGATGCTTCCGCCACCGGTTCTTCGAAATATCATCACGCACACACACGCAAACGGAAACGGCCTCGTAGCCTCGCAGCGTTGTTCATCGCACGACAGCAGATTGCTAGCACACATGCTGATCATCTTGATAAATTATTATTTCCGCCCGAAACTTTTAGAATCAAAACTTTCCCCCCACATCCCCAGATTGCATGTCCTAGTGTAAGACCTCATTACTCGAGAGTCAATACGAGTCTTGGTCTTCGAAGTTATAGAATGACATGTTGATCTATTTCCTGAAATTCTGGCCAAGGCAGGCAATTTTTCTCGCGTTCACATATGATCCTTGTATACACATGTATCTTGTACCGCGGGGTTGGGGTAAGCTTCTGGGGGCTGACGGGCGGGGCGCGCGCCAAATCTAGGTGGAATCGCCTAGTCAATGTAACATATCCCTTCATTGGCTCCTTGCATGCCGTTTTCCCCATTTCCTTGAAACTTACCTTGACATCCCAAGCCCGAGAGACTGAGTAACTAAGGTAGTTTTCAGAACCTTCTGCTCGGTCGTCCCGACCCTGGCTTGATGATCCTGTGCAAGGTCTTGTAACTAACTGGTCAATTGGTCGACTGGAACATCTTTCTACCTAGTTCGAGCCTAGCATTATATGTCTATGGTGCACTCACATATTCACGCGTATTTGTGGTGAATTATTTGCATGCGACAAGGGTGTATGTAACCTGGGTACAGGTACCTAGCTAATTACAATTTTGAGATGGAGGGGAAAGTTGGATGATCCCAAATCCAACGGGCACTGAGATTATAATATAAGGCTTATGATTTCCACCGTTTCTTGGAATTTTCTTCTTCTTGCTTGTTTACCTCGCCCAGCTTTCTCCAAGTCTTTCCAGTTGTCTTCTTCGTTTTCATCTTGCAAGATGGCGTCAACGAAGAATCAAATTGATAATGTCGACACTGTCGAGCATGCTCATCCATCCACTCATGTCGATTTGAACAATAATATTACTGCCAAGTAAGTTGTCATTTATCTATTGCTGAACTCCTGTGAAAGTATAACCTTTACTAATTGCTCATCTATAGAATCCAAAATCCCTTGGCAGGTTTATCAGAAAGTACCCTCATTCGAGATGTAGGAGAATTTGCCCAAGCCAACGACCTCAACCATATCCTTCCTTTACTCGAAAAAGGTGCTTTGGTAGCATCCGACCCAGAGAACTTTGAGAATGTAGGAAGATTGGACGAGGAAGATAAAGTTGCTTTGAGATATGAGGCAGCGCATAGATGGAGTCATCCAACGACGCTTTACTTGACAATTATTACCTGTTCTATCGGCGCAGCTGTTCAAGGTTGGGATCAAACGGGTAGTAATGGAGCAAATCTTTCATTTCCACTGGAATTCGGGATTGGCCAAGGAGATAACCCAGATTCTCCAAACCATGATCGTGATAATTGGCTTGTCGGTTTGGTCAATGCAGCTCCATATATTGGATCTGCTTTCTTGTGAGTTGAGATTGAATTTCGGTATAACAAATCATGACTGACAATTTATACAGTGGCTGTTGGATGAGTGATCCCTTCAATGCCTGGTTCGGACGTCGCGGTACTATCTTTATCGCAGCCATCATTTGTATCTTTACTCCCATCGGAGGAGCTTTCGCGAAGTCTTGGGAAACTCTTTTTGCCAGTCGTATAATTTTGGGACTTGGAATGGGTCTGAAAGGAAGCACAGTACCAATCTTTGCTGCGGAGAATAGTCCAGCTATGATTCGAGGAGCATTAGTCATGTCATGGCAAATGTGGACTGCTTTTGGTATTTTCTTGGGATTTGTTGCCGTGAGTATTGATTGATTCTTCGATAAAGTATCATCAGCTGACACTCATCCAGAACTTGGTCGTCATCGATACAGGCAAGATCGCATGGAGACTTCAAATTGGATCTGCATTCATTCCAGCTCTGCCTCTTGCAGCGTTGATCTTTTTCTGCCCCGGTACGTAAATCCAATCCATGAATCGGCTCAATTAGCTAACGATTAATCTAGAATCTCCAAGATGGTTGATGAAGCGAGGAGAATACCAGAAGGCCTACAAGTCCCTTTGCCGACTTCGCAAGCACGATCTTTTCGCTGCTCGTGATCTCTACTTCATCGACTGTCAACTCAAAATCGAAGCAGCAATCGTCGGTAAAACCAACTACGTCAGTAGATTCGTTCAGTTGTTTACCATCCCGCGTGTACGAAGAGCAACTCTTGCATCTTTCACCGTTATGATTGCTCAACAAATGTGCGGTATCAACATCATTGCATTCTATTCTTCGACCATTTTCAGACAGGCAGGTGCTTCCGAAAAGAATGCATTGATTGCTAGTTTTGGATTCGGATTGGTTAATTTCGTATTTGCGTAAGTCTTCTCTCTCTCCTAACTTCATCGAGTCTTTTGCCCACTCTTTGAACCACTATACATCAAGATATTAATAAAGTGTATCTAGCTGGCCAGCCATTTGGACCATCGACACCTTTGGTCGACGTTCTCTACTTCTTTTCACTTTCCCACAAATGGCATGGTCTCTCCTCGTCGCCGGTCTATGCTTCCTCATCCCTGAAGGCTCCACTGCCCATCTCGGACTCATCGCTACATTTATTTACATATTTGCTGCCTTTTATTCCCCAGGAGAAGGACCTGTTCCTTTCACTTACTCAGCCGAGGTTTTCCCCTTATCACACAGAGAAGTTGGAATGGGCTGGGCCGTTGCAACATGTCTATTCTGGGCAGCCGTTCTATCGATTTCTTTCCCCAAGATTTTGGAAAGCTTTCATCCCGTCGGAGCATTTTCCTTCTACGCGTAAGTTTCCCACCCGTTCACTCCAAATACACAATGAACTAACACAAAAAAACCAGCGGACTCAATGTCCTCGCTTTCTTCATGATCTTCCTCTTCGTCCCCGAGACCAAACAACGCACCCTCGAAGAACTAGACTACATTTTCGCCATCCCCACCCGTACATTCATGAAATATCAAATTACCAAAACCCTTCCATACTGGATTCAACGATATGTGTTTTTCAACAAGAATGCCGTACTAGAGCCCCTTTATCGTTTTGAAGAGACGGCGGATTATAGAGCGCCCGACACGAAACTCACAGGACACCCGGAACAGATTGAGAAGGTGGAGAGGAGCAGTGAGGGAGAGAGCGCGGAGATTACAACGGGTGAGAAAAATTAATGATGTTAATGGGGAAAGGGAATGAAAGGCTGGGATTGGTCGATAGGATGTCTTCTATAGGAATAGAAAGATAGATAATGGAGGGTAGAGATACACAAATATACCAAGCTGGATCTTTAAAACTTGTTTCCTGTCTGCCTGTCTGTGATGTTTATGGTACAAGGTGATTTATTTAGCTCATATTAATCGACGAAATCATGTTGGTTCGAAAAGAGCCTACAATGCTTTCCATTACATCATTTCCTCATCAACAAACAAACTATGTCTCTTCTCCCTACCGCGTCCCCCCTCCTAACCGAGAAATTTTATCGAGAAATCAAACGTCGAATTCACACGTCATTTCACGAGATCGCTTTATACACAGGTAGGTACACTGACAGATTGTTGAAATATTTTCTTCATTACTGCTACCAGAGCAACTAACTAATTCACGTTGTTTCGTTTTCATAACCGCATAATGCATGTATCGTATGCTTAATTATTCGTTTGTTTACCAAACCCCCCACAAGACATCACAAATCAAACGCCCATATGTACCGCCAAAATGCATATCGACCGCCCAAAAGGAAAGAAAGACTATGTGATGAACCTTTTTTTCCGTAGCCAAACCATGTCCTGCAACAAAGAAACATTGATCCTTGAATCCTCTTTAGCCAGTCTCAGTCTCAACATCTGGTTGTCTACCACTCAGACTCGTCTTATTCTTCATTCTCCTTGCCGCAAACTTCATCTCATCCTTTGCGAAAACCAAATTCCTCATTGGCTTCCACTGCATAAGTCCCCTCTGCTTCCTATGCAAACCCTTTGAATTCTCCTTATAATTCTCATACTGTTTGATTGGATTACTGGAATGGCTCGATCCGTTCTTTCCCTCCGTCCCGCCGTTCTCAATTGTTGATTTAGTCGTAGCATCATTCAAGCCTAAATCCGATTCCGCATCCGAGTCTGAGTCCGAGTCCGAAGATGTAGACAAAGTATTCGTGTCCTCGCTCATATTTTCGTTGAGGTTTGCTTCAACACATCCACCCTCTCCTCGTGGTTTTCGTACCATGCTAGACTCATAATCAGCATCCTGATACTTCTGTCCGAAACCACCTTTATTGACGTACTGTGCAGGATCCTGACCAAAAGCTCCACTCCAATCTGTTCCATCTTGATCTAACCACTTAGCCTTTTCGTCTTCATCGGCTTGACTGAGAACATCTCTTCCTTGGGTTAAAGACTGATCATGAAGTTGTTGAACAACTGGTGGAATTTCTTTCGTTACAATCTTACCGCGTACACCTTCGGAATGACATGCTTCCCAAGTTTCTTGAGTTTCTCGGGAATCATTGTCGGTGACAAACTTTTCGTGATCTTGATCCATACCAGCTTTGAATCTCCCCGAAAATCTGAGGCGCCCAATTTCCTCGATTTCCATGTCCGGGATTTCGCGGAAGTTTTCCTCTGTGATGTAATTCTGAGTGAGTCTCATGCCCTTGTCAGTTTTCCAGATCGGAATGTCAATTTCTTCCGCCTTATTATCCTCCAATTTGTGGAGCCAGATTACTGCATAGGCATCTGCTCCACGCTTACCGGTGACGTGGAATTCAAAGACTATTGGTGAACGATAACGATACTTGACTGGAAGTCGAATGTTATTTTTTCCATCTTTCTTGGCAAGATCCCAGTATACACCATCACCCCCTTCAGTCTTTCGACATTGGGTACGATTGATCTTTCCTACACTTCCTCCAGTTCGAAGCTTCAGTTTGGAGTTGTTGGCATAGCCAGTAGCCGAAATCCTATCAGATGTGAATTCAAATGTTCCTACATCCCAGCCCAATTGTTGTGGTGGTAATCTGGTCTCGACACTTCTGAAAAGAACGGAGATTCTGACGCGACCGAAACCAATTCCACCATCCAGAGGATACCATCTTGTAACTTGGGAACTTGTTTGTAGAAGATCCGATAACTTCAAAGGGACAACTCCGAGAATTGGATCGTGTTGTCTCATACGTTGATCCCGAACTGTAATGGTAATAATTGCTGATCTCCAATCACGAATAAAACGTTCAGTACCTGCATTGAAGATAGGCTTTGAGCTAACAACTTTGGAACGTGTACGATATACCTTGCAAAGGTTAGTTATAATGAATCAAAACGGAAACAATACATACCAACTCGTCGTTATATAGAATCGTACAGTAGCTGCTTGGCAACTTCTTATTTTCCTCTTCCTTGTTCTCACCTGCGTCCACTGCTGGTTCGAATTCCCTCCCCTTGCGTTTGCCATCACTACCTTTGACATTTTGTAATTCAAGGTTAACAATTTGATGAACGATGACACTGCACACACCACTTGGCCACAATGGATCAGGTGGAGTATGAACCGCAGCATCTTCTTCAGGGGTATCAAGACTTCCTTTTGGATCTTGTAATTCTTCCTTGTCTTGCAATTCCTTGGGAAGATTAACATCCTTTCCGTGGCTTCTCATTGCTGGTCTGAATTGTGGCTTGCCAAAATATCCAACTTCCCAATGAAGTTCACCAGGCATAGAACTATCAGAATCCATACCACGGAGTTTAGAAACTTGTGGATACATCTTTCCTGGGTGTTGAATCATTTTCTGCATGGAAAGTTCGACTTTACCAACAACATCATCAGAAGTTGATCGATCAGAATCCCAAAGTTCCATCGAAAGTTGTTCATCAGCTTTGATGAGATCAGGAGTGACGAGTAAAGCACACGTCTCTTCCCATACTGGGTTGAGATTATCCTGAATGACTCGAGTGCAGTACATTGGCTTTCCGTACTTGGAGAAGCTGACAGTGATGTAAGGATCACTGCCACCACCCTCACTTCCACGTCTATCCTGTTTACTGAGGCCAGTGGCTTTATGAATTCGGATCCAGAGAACACCGAGTGCTTCAACATCCTTTTGAATGTCGTCACCTTTCAATAATTTGGCCATGTCTAAAGTCATAGATTTCGGAGCGACATATTCATTAGCAGCAGCACCAATGGCGTAATTGACGAAATTGGAGATAAGAGGAAGATTAAGAATGTTAATACCAGTTTCGATCATTGGTACACATCCAGCTTGAACCTTTGGAAGTCCCATCAACGTGAATGTTAGTGCCTTCAAGAATGGAGGCTCTGGTGAAAGTTGAAGACGTAATCGAACGGTTCCGACAAGACCTTGCAATTCAACAAAAATTGGTAGAGGACTGCATTGATTAGTAATGTCACACCATGGAAGGAAACAACAACTTACACTCCGAAAAGTCCTTTCATACCAAGATAGAATACCAGTTGCATGTGCATATTTTTCGCCTTCTCGGAAGTTCCACCTCCTGAAGGTTGAGCATGATATGCGAAAGAGCATTCCAAATTGTAATAATCTCCACCTTCTTCATCGGCCGCCAGTTCTTGAGGATCTTTGTTCTTTTCGTTTTGTCGATGGATATCATCCTTCATTTCTTGAACATGACCATCAGGAAGGGCTCGCAAACTCAAAATTCGGAAAGGGTTTGTTCCTTGGTTGATTTCTGCGACTCTGACATTTTCAATAATACCAGGTACTGAAGCTTGCATGACATCTTCAAGAGTATCTGCAACAGACGCAAATAGATCGGGGTCAATAAGTCCCCACATAACGCCCATGAGAGAATTCATCCATTCTACGGATTCCGGGATTAAATTTGTGGTTGCCTGAGAACATTAGCTTAAAGACTCAATTGTGAGATGCAGATACCAACCATTTGACCCCTTTGTCTCTCACTCTCCCATTCCATAGCTCGGCCAGATCTTATGACCTCCTTTACCCAAAGAAATACACCTGATGAAACGCATGCTCCTAAAGGAATAAGACCATATAGAGCTCCCCCAAATAATTTTCCTAAAACTACAATACTCAAGAATATTCCAACGACAAGTAGCGTTGAGCGTTTCTCCAAAGATTCATACATCGGTTCATAGCTAACCGAGGGTGTAGGGTGGAATAAGATATTCGTCTTTTCTCCATGGATGGGAACATCGGACGTGCTTCCAGGTTCTACTGGATCTGGTGGCGCGGTAATATCTTGATTATTTCTATATTCTTCCCCGGATTGGGTAGCTTCTGTCTTGACCGGTGTAGACTTGTTAAGATTTGCATTTGGAACGGAAAGCTGTTGCCACGAATGTTAGATATGTATCAAAATCAATAAGGCTGGCAGATGTAGCATACCTGTGGATTATCAACCGCCTTCATGAAATCTGCATTAACATCCTCAATTTCCACATCTTTTCCAGTTGTTGGATCGGTAACGATCTTCCTCGTTCCTTCAACTCCATGTGGCTGTCCTTGTGTATGATCTGTCGCATCTCCTTGAACGCGTGATTGCAATTGTTCATTGATTTTTGCATCTCTATCTCTCTTATCCGAATCTAAACTCTCCACGAATCGTTGAATGTTCGGAATTGGATTGGAGCCGGAGTAATGTGCCCCGGGACCTTTCTTATGATCGTTCGACATCTTGATAAAGACGGAGGATTATTATTGAATGGTGGTCAAATGTAAAGGTTGAAGGGGAAGCGGGGAGAGTATCTGCGGGATGAGTTCCAGATCGAGCAAAACAGCAAACCAAAATGCCGTTTCTGATCAACAAGAACTGCAATTGAAGATATTCTTACTGCCTTCTTACTGCCTTGACAGCAACTTCGGTATGTTGGATTGTAAAAGAAAGAATTGGGTATCGATTATGAGTATGAAGAGTCAAATCACGAGAAAAGGAATAAAGAAGACTTGTAGCAGCCATGGTAAAAATAATTGCTTGGAATTGATGTGGAATTGCATAACAAGGAAAAATGGCTAGGTCGGTCGGAAGTGATGTCATATTAAGGTAGCTTGAGAGCTTCACTGGAGACATTCTTCAGCCAAGCGTCAGCCACGCAATCACAAAGCGGGATTGTGTTTATGTAGGTAGATGTAGACATTTCTTGATTTTATCTCTAGAATGCGAAGATATAATGAAACACGCCTGGTTGCTCTTTATGTTGTTAGAATTGATGGAGGCTCGAGGGAGGCTCATAATTGCGACGATGATGCTCAAAGAATTCTTTTGGTCGGGGAAAGTTCTCCGGGGTGATGATCTACCTGCCGCTTGTCAGCTTACCTAAGCACACACATTTGCTTGACAGGGCAGGGCCAAGATGAGGGGCACGTGTCTTGACACAGGGAAATACACAAAGCACGCTACCTATGCGTAGGTAGGTATTGATACTCAGAGTCAATCAAGATTTGGAGTTAGAAATCCATCGAGAGTATCCAAAGCCTTTCTTTATATTACATGCCATCAACATCAAAGTCTTTCAATATCCAAGGATGTACTAGATATGACTGATTCAATTGAGTTTACCTTTTTCACCTACCCATGTAGCTATGTGGAGATACTAGATAGCTTCGACCTATAAATATCTACCCAGGCACAACACTTTTCCCTGGTTGGTCTGCTGTCGCCCTGATCATTTGTGACCAATGGAATATCTTGGAACTTGGAACTATGGACCGACTTGGCTATCTATCTCCAAGGTAGAACGTCGATATCGACACCGGTCTCGAAGTCGACATCATCTATAGTACAACAACATCTATCATCCATTACGACGCACTTATCAGTCCTTTGATATGGGGCATACTCGATTCATCAATTGTTGGAAATGTTCCCACGGCAACCTAGATAATTCTCCTCTCACTATCAATGAAGATGGTGTGATAATTGATAACCAATTTTGTGACGCTGATGCGGAAGTGGTGGACCTCAAAGACAGTATTATCGCTCCTGGCTTTATTGAATTGCAAATCAATGGGGCCTTGGGTTTCCATTTTGCAAATTATGTCGATCCTACCAGTTATCATGATGGTGTACAAAAGTTATCGCAATATCTCCCAAGCACAGGAGTGACTGCGTTCTACCCCACAGTACCTACTGTCCGACCTGATGTTTTTCACAACGTCCTACCATTTCTGAGACCATACGATTCATCTACCGGGGCCAGCGTACTGGGTGCACACGTTGAAGGACCCTTCCTTGCTCCGAGTAAGAAAGGTGCCCACAATGCCGGAAATCTGCTCGTTCCCGAAACTTCGACTCTTGAAGATGTCTATGAAAAACACAATCTCTTAAATGCGATTCGAATTGTAACAATGGCTCCAGAGCTACCCGGGGCATTGGAGCACATCCGAAAACTGAGAGACAAGTACCCAATTGCGGTGAGTATGGGACATAGTGCGGCCACCTATGAGCAAGGATTGAAGGGTATGGACGCCGGTGCGTCTCTATTGACTCACACTTTCAATGCTATGAATCCTTTGCATCACAGAGAACCAGGGCTAGTTGGTAAGTTCAACTAAAGTTCAAGGGATTTCGCATAGCTCGGTGTGCAGTTCAGCGATCAGAGGCTCTCAATGTTTGACAGCAATATAATTTCCATAATGGATCTGGGGTTTCTATCGTTTAAGAAATCCAACTTAATCCAGATATTGAGAATGTCTGATCGTTAGACTACAGTTGAGACTGAAGTACACCCTGGACCGAACTGGGCTGAAATTTGAGCTAAGCGTTCATAGGTCTTATATCTAGTCCAAAAGCTGGAAACCGATGGAACCCGTCTTTCTCATTGATTGCCGATTCTATTCAGTGAGTAAATTATTCAACTCATATTTACTTGAAGCTGGATCGAAATATCTGGCAGTTCAAATCTTTCGTCTTTAAATTTACTTTATTGCGTCGACTTTTTACTTCTTCATCTGGATCGTGGGAGCAAGATTTGCGGCTAGGCTTTGATATGCTGGGAATTTTCCCGCCCTACCTCTTGCCCTATCACTCTTTTCTTCATTTCTCCCATTATCTCAACTATTTTTCTTTTTCTCTCCTGTGGCCCGCTTTCATGCTGACAACCAAAAGCCTTCATCCATCAATTGTCTCCATGGCCTATCACGCCTCTCCACAAGAGGCTATCTTAGTAACCGATTCCGTCGAGCTTTCCGGTCTTCCAGATGGTATTTATCCTGGGCATTCCCAGATCCCGCATCCACAGCTCAAAATAGGAAACAAAGTGACTATAGCTGGAACTGAAACCCTTGTTGGTACTTGTATTCCACTAGATCAGTGCGTCAGGAATCTCATGGAATGGGCAAACATACCAATCGAAAAGGCCGTAATGACAGTCACTGAGAACGTAGCAGCTCCGATGGGTTTAGTGGATAGAGGTGACTTAGGATCCGGCTGCAGAGGGGATTTTGTAGTGATGGATAAACAAGGGTATGTAAAAGAGACTTGGGTGCTAGGAAAGAAGATATGGAGCAGCAGTTGAAAGTAGATAGCTCGAAGGTTTAATACACGTAGACCCTAGAGTGCTTTCAAAGTCCTCGTAATATCATTCTTCACATCGATAACTTTTCAGATTTCTTTCATTCATCTTCGAAGCCGGAACTTTCCCTCAATAGTAAATGTCAACCATCGGACTTCGTAACGTTTGCAAGTAAGTTTGATGGCTAGTGAACGATTAACCTCATTTGATCAACCACAATTCCTGTAATTCTTGGTACAAACATTACGGTGAAAATAACTACTAGGTATTATCTAAAAAGTCTTTCTTGTTCGCGGAAATGGTTTCGTTTGTGATAACCCTTAAGCTTCAAAAGCCTATATTTTGCCGATTACTCAGCATAATGGTACTAATCATACCCTATGCCAATTCAGCCATTAAGATTCAACAGCGACAATAACCAGCGCAACAACGAACCCAATCTAGACACATTGATCTGAGCACCCACAAATACTCACTGTACAGTAAAACCTCTCTATAAGAATCCCCTCTATAAGGATAATCTCTTTATAAAGATATATTTTTTGGTTTCAAAAAATTTCAGGGTTAAAAAAGGCCTATATCCTTAAAATCCTTTTATTGGATATTTTTATATTTTTTGATTTCAGGATTATGTATATTTTTATTGGGCTAATAAAATTATTAGGATTTAAGTTATAATATAATTTTATATAGAGAATTTAGTTATATTTTGTAAAGATAAAAAAAGTTCCGAAATTGTTACAGAATATATTTCGATCGGGATTAATCGGAAATCAATTATTATTGGGTCGGGATTAGTTGGATATCTTTATATAAGAATATCTCTATATATTCTTAAAAAAGACTACAAAAACCGGTATCCTTATAGAGAGGTTTTACTGTACCTTTTTTGACTCAAGCAATTAATCGTATATTCTCGAAAGATTTTGTGGGTTCCAAACTTCCAAACACCCACTTCTTCCGCGAACAGACATCTTGTCAAAATTAATGCGATGAAATTTCAGGGGGTTCTGTCCATACGAAGATATCAGCCACTTATATTCTTGTGGAATGTCACTCATTTTGAATCGAGCTAGGTATATTGAGAAATACATGGGCATTGTTATGTATGGAGAGCACTGCCAATTTTCTTCCAGATATGAAACATTTTTCCACGCGACATCTTTATACAATCAAGAAGATGCGTGTTGCACTGGGGAATGCTATTCTTGTGCCATTATTCAATTTTGTCAGAATGATATACTGTCGATATAAGGTTAAGTATCGAAAGAGGTAGCCGAGTCCTCTCTCATAACGGCAAGGAGAAGTGTGAGATTCTTTAGTGGAGCATCCCATCAGCCCATGTGGATTCCGGCAATTCATAGGGATGACGAGTCTGATCGCTTGGCAGTCAAGAGCATGCGACGACAACCCCGCTCTCCTCCAATTATACTTCAGAATTTGGGGGGTTTATGCTTAAATGTTTAAGAAGGAAGCGAAACTAGATGTGCTCTATAACATTGGCCTGTGGAATTGCATATGGAAATTTGTAAAAGCATACGACGCATTGGATGGTAAATTTACTTTACGTTGGACTTGCTTCCGTGGATACAGGGGATTGTTGGGGCCAGAACTAGTGTTCCCTTGCGATTTGATCATCAGTATTGCAAAGAGTAAGACTTGGTTGATTAAGCCTCATTCACGATTCAAGTTCTACGATCTTGTTGTGGCATTCGCGTGATGGTATTCTTAGTACAGAATGTTGCAAGTTGCCTAATTACTTCATGGAAGAGGCCGGAAGCTGGACTGGATTTTGGCTAAAGATGGAACAATAGATATCTTAGAGGGCTCAAAGCATTTCTGACCCTCTTCCCTAGTCAGCGTTAAGACGGCAAATCGTAGTGGCACTCTACAAGCTTATAGTTAAGCCTCTCCCTTCGGAGAATACTTGCGCGTCCTACCGTTGTGACCAGGTTAGGGACCAAGGATTGATATTTGTTATACAGTCATATTCATTGGTTCTTCAGTGAATTGTACTCCATTATGAAAGCTTACGACATTATTGATGGAGAATTCTTCATATCATATTCCCTAACAAGTAAGAAGAACACGGTGAACGGTGCAGGTATTTGGAAGTGGCTTGGACCAATAATGAACGAGATGTTTCGAAACAAATGGATTGACTTCAACTAAAGCTTACGAAATTCATTGCGAAGACAACAAGGACCTTATATTTGCCAAGACTGAATGTACCATTGACCTTGCTGGTGATAGTGGATATCAGTGACATTCATGGTGACGACTTGCTAACATGATGGCGGTGTTGATGAATGGAGAATACATTGTAGGAAGCATAGTTTCAAAATAAACAATTAATAGTTTCAAGAACATAAATAGGATCTCAACGTCTCTCTTTCTTATCACCATCATCCTCTTCATCTTCACTTCCACTTCACCCTTTAAATCTGAACCTAAAGCATCCTTTGGATTTACATTCTTAAACATTCAATATGGTTCAAATCTCTAAACTTGCCTTTGCTCTTTCAGCAGCTTGCCTTGCACCTGTCATTGCCCATCCTGGAGAACACTATGATCATCATGCCGTCAAGCGAGAAATCATTGCTCGTGATCAAATGGCTTCCGCTGCCAAAAGATCCCTCGATTCTTGCTCTGGATCCTTGAAGCATCGTCAACTTAACGCACGATCCGTTGCTCGTCGTGCAGAAGCTGCTCGTTCTCTCCGTGCCAAGCGCGATATCAAGACCTGTGAGTAGCACCTACCAATTCCTAGGACTTCAATTCCATTCGAAAAACTATAGTATGCGACATCTCTACAGAAACATCAATACTAATATGAATCTACAGTGCCCAAGAAGTTCCGTCGTGATCTCGCCACTCTTGAAGTCTACGAAGCTATCAACCACAACCAAACCGGTGTTCTCGACTACAGCGTCAATACCTCGGAATCCACCATCTTTGCCGCTAACACCTCTTGCATCTTGACTCCTGCCAATACTGATGGTCCTTACTACGTTCTCGGTGAAACTATCCGCCAAGACGTTACTGAAGGACAAGCTGGTGTCCCTCTCCATCTTGAGGTTCAATACATCGACATCACAACATGCGAGCCCGTTCCCGAGGTCTACGTTGATATTTGGAACGCTAACGCCACTGGTGTCTACGGTGGCATTAACGTCACTGGAAATGTCGCCGATGGTGGCTACGATTCTACCTTCTTGAGAGGTATTCAAGCTACCGACTCTGACGGAGTCGCTACCTTCGATACCATCTTCCCCGGCCATTACGATGGACGTGCTACACACACCCATCTCCTCGCTCACTCTAACGTTACCGTTCTTGCAAACAACACTATCCAAGGAGGCGCCGTTACCCACATTGGTCAACTTTTCTGGAACGAGGTTCTCCGCAGCGCAGTCGAAGCCACATACCCATACAACACCAACACCCAAGCCGTTACCTCCAATGCTGATGACATGTGGTCCATCGTCCAAGCCGAGAACGATTTCGATCCTTTCCCCGAATTCATGTATTTGAGCGACGATATTACCGATGGATTATTGGCCTGGATTCAAATCGGTATCAACACCACTGCAGATTGGTCTGATGATGATTACTATAGTGTCGCAGCTACCATCCAAGCTGATGGCGGACATGCTAGCACTTCTAGCTTCTCCGGCGGTGGAGGTGCCGGTGGTGAGGGTGGTAACGGTACAGCTCCAGGAAATGGAACTGCCCCACCTTCTTAAGGAAATTGCAGATTTCAAGTTTACTGTTACTGTTTGTGTAAATAAGAGTTCAAGTAACTGCAGAGCTACTGCTGTTGGCTCACCGCATGTTAGATTATTTGTTTCAAATATACCTTTTTGGCCTACCTTTGCATTTATCAAGAACGGATACTTATTTTTTTTGAAAGTGATGATTTGGTGATGATTTGGTGATGATTGTTGTAAATGCTGAAGCGGTTACTAATCTAGATATCGAAATTGAGCCCCTTCATGGTGATTATTTTGGCGAGGCCACGAAATATTCATTTGACCATGCAACTCCGTATTTGTTCTAAAGCTTCATTCGAAGTGCCTTTCTTCGAATACCTACATTAAGGTCAGGTTCATCTTTTTTTTTTCGAAGCAAGTTATAATAACAATTGAATCTTTATTTCCTTGGTTGTCAAGTTGTTGAAAATGGTGGAAAAGAATTCAACATTCACTCTAAACCATTTCTTAATTCTATGGATGCCCCATGCAAATATACTGGTACTTCAGTAATAGTCTATACTCCTTTGCTTTAAAAAGCTCGATGTCTTATTATTTGCTACTGATCACTTCCATTGCCTAATCAACCAATATTTATTGTTTATCCCCTATCGTAGAGTGCGTTCAATGAGCTCCGTCGCTTAACAGGGATCTTATCAACCAATCAGATCATCAGGATTCCCTGAATTTAATCTAATATTCACATTTATTCTTCGATACAAAATTCAATCTATATTATTTCTATATCAAAATTTCCAATATAATAATATATACTAATTTTCAATCTTTGGTTTTTTATAAAATTGAAATTAAGATTCTATACTATAAATAATATGATTGAAAAACTATTAAAATAGCTATTCTATTCAATAAAACTTTATTATTCAAGGTATATCGCACAGACTACTTTTGGAGCTCATTTAACGCACCCGGACGCACTCTACTCGAGTACCTACCTATAGTAGCTGCATTTCAACCACCATCGTGAACTCAACTTCAAACAATTAACCTTGATCGCCTTGAAAAAACTTCATAATCTTAAAGTTTATCATGGAACTCACTAATACATACCAAGCTCTCTTGCTCGCGATATCTTCCCTTTCGGCTCTCACCACCGCCACATCCACACCCCCTACCGACCCAGCATCCACATGCTACACCTCTCCACTCCCTACCCTCTGTCCCTCGCTTTCTAATGCTACACGCTCTATCCCCTGGGGAACCCCTTCATTCACCCTTCCAAATGGCACAGTCTGCTGCGATTCTCTTACCCAAATACGCGCCGGTATTGACGACATAGATACGCAGCTCCTCGGCCTCCTAGCTCAAAGAGCGGCATATGTAAGAGAAGCGACGAGATTCAAAGGGACATTGGATACGGTGGATGTGCCGAGTAGAGATCAAGAGGTTATTGAAGGTGCGGTTGCCAAGGCCAATGAGACGGTCCCGAGGTTGCCGGAGGTGATTGCAAGAAGTGTTTTCGAGGCGATTATCAATGGGAGTGTGCCGTTTGAGGAATGTGTGTGGGGGAGTTTTGAAGGGCTGGTGTAGAAGTGGTTTTGGTATGTCTGCGGCAGTGAGTGTAGGTGTGAATGCCAAATTGAACGGAAATTAGCAGGGAGACGAATTTAGACTCACAACATTCGAATCCGTGGACCAACTACTTAGACATGTCAATTTTTGAGTGGGCTTTATGTGGAGGGCTTGGGATATCTGTAATATGAAGTTTTGGGAGGTAGACGCTAGGATCCTTGAAGCGAATGAGCTGTAGAATTCAGCAGGTTGTTAGGGGCGGGAGAGTGTGGGCATCCATGGATTGTATATTTCTAATATTAATAGCCTCGCGGTACTAATCAAGAATTGTATCATAAACGAAGCATTCTAGAGAGATTGAATGATGCCAAGAGAACTCCAAAATGTTGGGCGAACAGACGCTAAAATTTAATAGCTAGGACCTCGATATATACGGTCATCGTCTCCACTATCTACAAGCCTCTAAAGCCCATAATTCCTCATATGTATCCAAAAACATATTTATAGCACTAATCTTGAGTTTAGGGACTTCTACAAAAGACAACTTCATCGAGTTCAAGAATATCATTGCACATACTTTGTCAAACAGGGCCAAGGTGGAATAGACGCATTGCAAGCGAATACCACCAGTATATGCTGCATACCCAATAGCTATGTCAAAGATCATGCCTGCCATCTCGAGGACTATTCCATCGATTCGATTCGAAACAATGGTTTCTATTGTGTACTAGAAGACCATAGGAAAAGTCTGTGGTGAGAGAAGCTCGTCGAATCACGTGGTGGCTTCAAGTCTGAAGTTTGTGGCTACGGCGTTCATGTATTTGAAAGACACGATGTTTAAGAGCATCCAGAAGGCCTGTTTTTTTCAATCTGACGATGAATCCAAACGGCATCACTTTACTAGAATCGATACATCAAAGCAGATACTTTGCCGAAGACTGAAGAATGCCTGGGGCTTCTACTCAATGGCGATCAACAAGCGCTCTATCTGACTTCAGTCATACGGCGATATGATTCGGTCTTTTCGCTTGGACCTTCTCCTCACTCACCAGTACGTATTTAAGAAATAAGCTCTGAATTTGGCTTCTAATCCAGAGAAGACATGTTTGCTTAGTTCAATTTTATACAACTATGTATTGCCACATCGCTTAAATACCAGGGATTCAAAAATATATGTATAAAGCAAACGTTCACGCATGAGCTTCGTTGGTGGAAATCTCTCCAGAGAGTGTGAAGTACTTTCCTGTAACACATAATGTTATCATAGCCATTGGATTCACCTTCAATGTAGCTATGATGGTAATATTGCCGACTTTTGGGCCTGGAGCTTCGGTTATCCGCGGTTGACAGTTAAGAACGGCTTGAAGAAATTCACTAGAGATAGCCTCAATGGGTATGTTTCAAGTGAATCAAGAAAAATTGCCGGATGAATTCTTTGGGCCCACCCGTTGACTGGATACTCGGTACTCACCATTGAAAGACCACCACTCTCAAAACACTCTCAAAATGGGTATCGGCCAGAAGGGAGAGAAGGGTGTTACTTTGGTATGTTTTTGTTAAATCTTATAATAAAATGAAAAAAAAGTACTTAAAGCTTATAGCTCTTGGATAAGTTTCTCTTTCCTCAGGCTAGTAATTGGCTTTCGAGCGACAGTCCGTTGATAGATTATAAAGAAAATTTGTGGATGCTTAGTTTAATAATCCAGAAGACTTCTCTGGTATTTTGTTATGCATTTGCTTTCCAAATACTATACCAAGATCTTTTCACTAAGCACAATCCCAGACAGACCACTTATTAGCTTTGATGTACCTAGGTATCTTAAGTCAATTAAAGTATTGAGTACTAAAATTACTTTTATTCAAGCTTTTTTCAATCTGAACAGAGTCTTGCATCGCTAGAGCAGCTCGATCTTTGAGGCCAACGAACAACACACCACTTGATGGTTTCCATAATGGTAATCTTACTATTCAGATTCACAGGTCTAGAACTAATATACGAACATGTTTTTGGTCCAAGGCTGACTAATAATATAGAAATAGTAATTCCACAACATGACAAAAATAAGTCAAAACTAACATGTATAAATTTAGGAAACAGAATCTCACAGAAGTGTGCTCTTTCTTTTTTGGATATTCACTCAAAAAACGACGCAGCCTAAAGTACACAACTACGCGGAATACAACTAAACAGAAACTGATTACCTGTTGTGAATTCCAATCCAGATATAAAGATACGAATGATGGAAAATTATTTTTTAAAGGAATCTGTTATTCATTGTTAGAAGGAGGAGCACAAATTCACACCCACAAAGTCACACCGAGCATCTTTGCAAGTTCAACAATGCTTGGACTAGAGTATGATCAGAGTATGGCGTAAGCACGCTTTATGTTCAGAATCTGTCCTCTATGAAAGATTTCTCTCTCGCGGAGCCTGGCCTCAACATAGTGAAGAGGAGTTAAGGAGTAATTGCCACTTAGATGGCGCAGACATATGAAAAAAAGATCTTTACTCACCATACATTTCACCTTTCAAAAATCACGTGCATTGTATTTTTGGTATTCAATCTTATTAAATTGATCTGTTTGGTCTTGTCGCCCCACTTGTCTTTCCTAAAGTGCATTGCTACTTTCAAGTACTTCTTTTACTTCATTATCTCCTGAGAACTTTGTCCGAGACTCGAAGTTGAAAGCTACATGGTTCTTCGTAATTATTTGAGGTTTTCATACAGTAAATGCCATATAACGTCTTTAGCTTTCTGAAGCTGACGGTATGATATGACAAGATTGATTCTTCATGAGCCTTGTGACTTCAGCTAGACGATCATTAATTGTCAATATCATCGTCGCTGTTCTCATCCGTAATACCCTCATCTTCCTCGGGTTCCTCATCTTCATCCTCCTCGGAGTCGCTGGCCTCTTCATCGTCATCTTGGCTGTGTGCATAGCCACTATCCCTATTATCATTTTCATCATCGCTGTCCGATGATTCTTCGCCCGAATAATTTTCTTGGCGATCAAGAGTGCCAGCTTCAACCATGATCTGCAACATCAGACCCTCCCATTGTTCCATGTTCTGGTAGAGCCAGATCGGAAGATTTGGGACCTTCTTTGCTGTGTTCCCCTCGAAGTTTGCTTGGGTATCTGCAATCCTTTGATCAGCGTATGCTTCTGAGACCTTCTTAAAAGTCGGCATAGCCTTGTAGTTGATCTGGATTCTTCGGCGCTTCTCTTGCAACATGTCCAGCCTGACATCTCCATCGGTCCATTCAACGAGCTTGAGTTGGCGGTTCTCATTGATATCGCTCTTGGTTGTATAGATCATCGTTTCTTTGAGACTCAAGCTCCAGTTATCAATGTTGCTGAGTCTGTAATAGGCCGCCCAAGGACTGTAGATGGCGGATTCGTGGGAACAGTCACTCACTGCAACTTTGGCAACCTTAGTGGCTTGCATTACGTTGCACATGGTAATGAAAGCCTCATCACTCCAATCTCCTTCAATTATCGGGCAGATGCGATCAATTAGTGGATTGAACCAAAGATTCTTAAGTGGTTTCAGTGGTCCGACATAGCCTCCAATTTGCGCAAGGGAAGCTATGTTGCATCGTTTGTCGTGATGTTGGTCCTTGAACCACTGTCTCGATTGTCGGCAGACGCGCAATGCTATGGAATATGGCTCATTACTCCATAGTTCGAAGCTTTCTCCCACTTTCTTACATCTGACTGTCACATTTTGTGGCTCTATGATATACGTGTGACTCCAGATAAGGTCCAATATTTCGTTTGGGAGATGAATGGGTGCCTTCCTAGAGATATCGGAGGCACGAAGTGGTGCAGATTGATTGCTGATCTGATGATGTGCATCGAGATTTGTGATTTCCCTGTCGATCTCACCGGATGGGTCCACCTGTTGATTGATCGATGATCTTGAGTTCTCCATTGTCGCGTTAGGTATTGATAGTTCAAAATTGAGTTTGAATTCGAAGTTAATAGTCACGAGGATGACGTGGGAAGTCTTTCGTTGCAAAATGTTATCAAGATAGTATTCAGAGATAAGAGTTGTGAATGGATGTCTTGAAAGTGTCCAGGATGATATTTTTGAAGGAGGAATAATCTAGCCTTTATAGACTGCTAATAATGATTCCGAGAAGTGTTTGGATCATTCACCCGGTAGCGCAATAGCGCGAGCTGTCCACGCTATCGCACTATTCGCGTGGACCACCAGGAGAAAATCGCCGTATCTGGATACATCTTGATATTATCCTTATTATATACAGTATAAGCAAAGCTCTTTCTTTGTTCTTTCCTTCGTGTCGAAGGCTCCAAGTTCTCTTGTACTGCTACGCTTAGCTTTTGAATTCACTTGATCACTTAGCATTCATGCAAGCTGACTTTCGTCTTAAGAGGAGAGAAGGAACAGTGATTTTGGTTGTGTGTTTAGGAATGCAGATAGCAAAGATAGAGTAATCTCATTGAATAGTCGATGTCTGTGACCAGAAGAAGTCCTAATTTTGTATTGTAGCGAGATTAAATTCAAATTTCATATATCACTTTTTTGATAGTCTCGCATTCTTACTTTGCCCTGCACTCTGAGCAAGTATCTGCGTTTTCGAGGAATGCTAAATTAGCTAGCTGTTTGAATCCATACTACATCTCTTGAACTCATACCGAGTAAAGAATGTATCTTAGCCCAATAACTATTATCTTGGTTGCACTTATATAAGAGAACGCCTATACTCACCAGAATTTCGCCTCGCAATGAGTAGTATATCAATCAAGTTTGTAGCGCATCCTGTTATTTAATTTGTGTATTTGCTCCAGATGTATTTCACGTCGCCAAGCCTCGCTCTACGCTTTTCTCGGCTTATGTTGCTAGGCATGGTGCATTTGTCCAAACCCCGTAATGCAATTTAGCTTCAGTTGTATTTATAAATCAAGGATAAAACGGAAAGAGGTATACGATTCTCTGTATGCGTGTTGAGTCGTCGTCAACGATCCATTGTCTAAATGGACTTTGAATTTGATATGCTAGAGGAAACTTGTGATATTTGACATGTCGATAACGCTCAAATTCAGGAAATAATATTTTTACTGCAATTAGTGATGCAATGAACTCAAAATATTTATTATATGGATTTGGTTTTACTATTCTACCTCAATTACCTAATCGGTGAAGTAATCATCACTGTTTTCGTCTTCGATGCCCTCGTCTGGCTCAAGCTCCTCATCTTCATCCTCGTCATGGCCTCCATCGTTCTCGTCGCCGCCATTGCCATCTCCACCATTTTCATCCTCTCCAATTTCAGGATCAAGAGATCCAACCTCTACCATCATTCTTAAATCAAGGTCTGCCTTAGCTGTCTTTTCGAACAACCAGGCTGGAATCCCTTCCACCATTGTCCTTCCTTCCCCATTACGCTTGGCCCCTTCGTCCGCCATATCTTGCGCATTTTTTATTGCAATGAGTTTCTTCAGGGTTGGCCTGGAATGATGCATTTGAATGCTTCGAGCCTTGCTTTGGTACATGCTTAGAGTTATTCTGCTGCTTTCCCATGGAGCAAAATTTGGTCTATAATGCTCGTCGAAGCTTCGCTTCGTTGTGTACATAATGATTTCTTTGAAGCTTGAACTCCAATTTTCTATGTTTTTCATACTGCAGAAGGATCCCCATCGACTCTTCAGAGCATCCTCGGCATGTGTGCAATCGCCAATAGCAATCCTGCACACTTTGATTATTTTTATAACTTCGCAGAGTGTGTAGAAGGCCTCTGATGTCCACTCCTGTTCCATAATGGGACAGAGTGTGTCTATTTCTGGATTGAAGTAGAAGTTTTGCAGGGGCTCTAGGGGCCAGACGTAGCCTCTGCGGTGGGCCAAGTGAGATACGACATGCTGTGACTTAGCCCACTGTCTCGACCGGCAGAAAATTTGTGAAGCCTTTGACGGTTGCATGTCACTATGGATCTCGAATGTGTTACTGGATCTCTTGCATCTAACAGTAACATTTTGAGGTTCTTGGATCTCGGCTTCGGCCATAATCGTGTCGAATATCTCATTTGGAATGGTGGAGAGATATGATAACTTAAGAACTTTTGCGTCAGACAGTGACATAATATTGAATGCGATAGTTGATGACTCCATCTTGTAGGTTGATTTTGTTTGTCTGAATTTCGATGGTATTGCTTCTTCTGAATTCAAGCTTGAAAATGTGATTGTGGTATGGACTCTGGAGATGTAGCCCATGGAAATGTTATTAAATTAACGTCGCAGTTAGATGTTATCAACGCAAAGTAGTCCTTTTAGAGAAGATTATGTTAGGAAGAGAAATATGTAGTAAGCTTTCAACATACAATCTTTCTGGTTTAGATAGAGATTTTATAGGGGATATGCTCATCGATGCCACGCAATTGTGATGTGGCATATCGCCGTAATGAGGGTGGTTTCTCACAGTCTTCATCATATACAGTACAGACAAACTCCTTTATGTGTTCTCTCACCTATCTTAAGAACTGTGAACTTTTCAATACGGCTGTCTTGAAATCTTCAGTTGACTTGCCCTGCTCAATACATGACTGTCGATTTAACCCCCCCTCCGCCCCCATCTCGTCCCACAAACGGAAAGAAGAGGTAGAAATGGTAGATAGTAATCTGAAATATGCCTTTAAGGGCGAAGGAATAGTAAAGTCCATGCTATTTCACTGATTAGTTTATCATTAGGTCATTAACTTGATTTCTATGATTCCGAAATCCTACTTTTGCCTGTTTGAAGTTTTATCACAAATCTCCTCAGGAATTGCATTCTATCAGGCCCCTTGAATTTGTATACTCAATCTAATAACATATTTCCAAAACCTTAAATTTCAATGCTTTATCAAAAACATCTAAATATTAGATTTTCTAATTTCAATTTATAATATTTTTATCAATTATAATTCAATTCAATTAAAAACTTAATTAAATAATAGAAAATAATAAATTGTATTATTTATATGATTTTCGATTATTTCAAATCGATATTAATCGAATTAGAAATTTCGAAACAAAAATTCGAAAATAATTGAAAATAGTTTAGAAATACATTAATTTTCAATTTCAAAATCGAATTTATATTCTATCTACCTTCAATTTTATAATTATTATTTTAATATATCTATAAAATTATGTATTGATTCCTTCAATTGAAATATTAATTATTTTAAAAAGTTTATTCAATTTGAAGATATATTAATAAATTCAAAAATGATTAAAATTGAATTTCAAAATTGATGAGGTATAAAAAATCGCTTATTTTTTTGGAAATATGTTATTAAATTGAGTGTATCATTAATTTTTCAATAAAACCGAGTAAAGAAAGAGAAATCATCTTGGTACACTGTGATTGAGTACTTGTGCGTATGTGGGAGACAGTCCTAATATCTAGCATTTAATCGTAGGCACAATGATCATCATGCGTTTGGTATGTCTTCAATTTTAAGTTTCTTTTAAGTAATCAATTGAAACATGAGCACAAACATTTTGTTACATAAAGTTGCTCTTAGACCGTTAGTGGTGGCACGTAAACAAAGCCCATGATAAATTCTGTTATCTGTTTGAGACTTTTTATTTTGCAAAATACAATGGATAATTATAAGTTTAAAGTGATTTAGATATGGGTTTACTTCAGTGTGAACACACTTCAGTTTTCTTATATTAATATTTATATATTCTTCTTCGACATAATGCCCACTTTCTTCTTTCTGTATTCCTCCATCTTCTTCCGATTCCTCGTTGAAGTCTGTTTCTTCTTCACCACCTCTATCCTCTGACCCTTCACTTCAATTCAGACTACAAGTGCCTCACCAGATTGTCAATTCTCTCTGCAAATGCGATAGATGTAGACGTTAGATTTGGAATCAGTTTCCTCATTACTTTCGGCGATCTATCATCATCATCTGCAACAGTTTAATCCCCAGGATCGAGCGAGCCCACTTCAACCATCGGCTTCAAGTTGAAGTCACGCCTAGTACGCCCAGCTTCAAATAACCAAGCAGGTACCCCATCCTGCTTAACCCTAGACACTCCTTCGCTTTTTGCAACATCGTCTGCAGTGTCTTGCTTTTTTTCTGCAACCTGAAGTTTTCGGGTTGCAAGCCGAGCCTTCAATCTCTGCCCTTCACGAGTTCGCTTCTCGCGATGGCCTAGAGTAACTGGGGCTGGAGCTCCATTCCAATCAACGAATTTCATTCTTTGATGCACGTCAAGATCAATCTTTGTCGTGTACATCAATGTCTCCGAAAAACTAGAGCTCCAGTTTTCGATATTGGACCACCAGTAGAAGGAAGCCCAAGGTCCTCGAGCATTGTTGTCAATGCCAAGCGTGTGAGAGCAATCACTAACAGCGATGCGCTCTACTCCGATAGCTTTCATAACCCAATAGAGAAACTCAACGGCTTCTCTTGTCCACTTTGCTTCGTTGATTGGGCAGATTCGGTCACGTCTAGGATCGAAGTAAAGTGATTTAACCTGGCTATGAGATCCCCTGTGGCCTTTTTTTCGCAGAAGTCTTGCTACGTTATTTTCTGTGCTGGCCCATTGTTTTGATCGCCGATGGACACCGAATGCTGTGATATTAGATTTTGCTTCTGTACTGTAGATCTCGAAGCCTTTTCCGACAAGTCTGCAGCTGACAGGAACGTTCCGACCCAGTCCAGTATCTGCCATCTCCCAGATCCTTTCGAACAATTCTTGTGGGATATTATTCATGGTCGTTCGATTGGATCTCAATTTTGTTAGAGACGTAGAAGATGCAGAAATAGCTTGAATTGAGCTTCGAGACATGGTGGTCGATATTAATGTTGGTCCTTGTCGTTGATTGAAGGGAGGGAATTGAAAAGAGGAAAATTCAATATCGAAGTGATATGAGAAGGATAGTTTAATGGATTACTATCGCTGATAGATATCAAATTGCCTTGTCAAGATTTCGTGAAAAGATTCAAGTATCAGTTAGATCTAAGAGAGAATATATTTTGGGAAGAGAATTTCAGTATTTCTGAAAATGACTTAAGCATTTTGCGCCCATCAAGACCGCGACCGCGCGAACACGCGAACATATGAACGGAATCATTAAGCCGTATTATAAGGGGGCACGAGGTTATATTGATTATATGCGGGCGCCAGATTGAGAATTCCGGCTCCTGAGAATTAAGCGAGACGTTTCCTAAACCTGCGCAATTCGTTTCCCCGCATCACATTTACCGTAATATGTAGTGCTACCCAAAAACTTCATCTTCTACAGACAGAATTTAACTGCGTGATATAAATCTTGACCGTAACCTCGATCCCTTCGAATGAGTAGACATTTCTGATACGGTGACATATCTTTGATCTTTCTATCGGGGCCATCTATACCGCATGATAAGATATAGTGCCAAAATATGAATTATTCACTTCTCATGAAGTTTATTCGTTGTAATCAAGCTCGACCGTGTTCCCTGTGGTTTGGTATAAATATGTTCATCTTTCCAGGATCAGTTTCTTAAATTCTTGTTAATACACAAACTGCTTTGAAAAATACATTTGTGATTGAAGCTTCATTTCTCAATTGAACCTCCTTTAAAGAAAATGAAAAAACAAGGGAAACCCGCGAAACGTTTGGGAAGAGCGCGACCCACAGTCCAACAGCCTCTGCCAGATACCACCTGTGATGTAACGCCAGGACTTCAAGCTTCTGCAAATTCGACAGGATCAATTCCTAGCTCGACACAGAATGTTGGATTTGACAGTTTACCAAACGCGACCGGACCAACTTTCAGCGCTAATTACATGGCCCAATCTTCATCAATTCCGCCAAATGGCCATGTCTTAGCCCCTGTCTCCTCTCGAAAAGTAGTGCTAGATGAATTCACAGTTTTCAGAAAAGTTCCAAGAGAGATCCAACTGATGATCTGGGAAAAGGCCGTCGATTTAAATCCGCGAAATGTTCCAGTTAGAATCATGCCACAATTAGGCCCGGGAGGATTCAAGTTTCGAACCGACATTCCCATTCCAGAGGGCTTCATGGCGTGTAAAGATTATTACGAGGCGGCCAGAAAACGCTACAGTCTATTGGATGACCGCCTGAAGGCTAACGACATGTCCATGGTGCAACATCTTCCATCTAACTTCTGGTTCAATCCCGCGATCGATAGATTTTGTCCAGTTCAGAAGTGGAGCCCTCATAACTTTGAAGTTGGTCTCAAACTTTTCTTTCAAATCCTTCAAGTTTCGAGAATTGCAATTAATGATTACGCAACCGATGATGCACGCTATGAGTCGGATACCCCACTTTATGACCATCCCCCTTTTGGGCCACTATTCACACCAAAAATGGCATTTTTAACTTTCTTATTTATGAATAGAATTTAATTGTTGGACCTTTTTGATGTTGGTGCTATTGGACAATTTGAATTGGTATTACATAATTGATTCGTGTTCTGGAAACTGTATTGTTCATACGCTGCTAGCTGTACATGAGAACTAGAACTTAAGTTCTATTGCCATACAACTTTTTGTCTCTAGTCTTGGGTCTAATTTGAAACTGAATCTTGAGGATAGCATATTTCAGAGCTTTTGAATGAGATTCTGCGAGTCTATCGAGACGGATATGGTGTGAGGGCATTTGGTTGGGAAATATAGCAGCGCATGACGTATGATATGAAAATTCCTGCAAGAAAGTTCGAAGGAGGGAGTACTTTCAAGTTAGCTTTGAGCGCAATTAAAATCATAAGGACAGATTCAAGGATTTTCTGGTCCGAGAGTTACATTAGTGAAAGATTGATCTGAGCAACCCGTACAAATAATGATATTTGAAAACTGAAGATTCCGATCAAACCGTGAAAATTAGCTGGCTATGTATCTGTTAAAATTTAATATAGACTATAATGAGTGTAGCGCTGGTAATGCTGGCTTCTTAGATTTTCTTACGGCTATTGGATGACTATAAACAGAATATTCTTAAGGGATATACGTGAGTCTTGTTTTTAGTCTAAAGAGCTATGTATTCATATACTCCGCTTCTTAGACGAAGTAACCGTGCCTCTTGTTTGTTAAAAGTAAAGATAAAACATTTCGTAATAAAAGTGTGTTGAATACAATAAACTGGAAAGAAGTTATGAATAGCGATCAACTACTTCAATCAGGAGAAATTATGAAACTTCTCGGTTGAGAGAATTGGGTGAAGATTGGGAGTTGATTCTTTCACTTATAATAATTTCTTTGCAATTGCAATTACACGTCCAACACGGCAAGTTTCCACGTGGACTGTTGTATGAGTGACACAATATCGACATGTGATTTTATGCCTGAGTCTATTCTGTTTTACATCAATGTGAATGCAAAGAATGCGAGCTCTACCGCTCAGTTATTTGTCGAGACTTACAGATTGCCCTGATCACTAGGCTTAAAAATAAGATCATTGGATAAAGAGAAAACTTGGTCTGCTAGTTTTTATCAGTCACATTAATCCTTATATTAGTGGGTCGTCACTGTTTGGTGCATTTAGCCACAATCTCATTACAAAAATCACTATCAAATATTTGAAATTAATGTTCTTTCTTGATTGTTTAAGAACAACAAATGCGTGGGACCTTTCGAATGCCACAGTTTTGACAGTTTTTAACCCCTCACTTAGAATTGCTTTTCGGACATTAACAGTATCAAATCCCTGAGCCACCACTTCATTACCATATTTCTCATCTTCAGATACTCTCTAAGTCGCTTTATCTACAATGGTTTATTTCTGCAAAGTATAATTCAATTGCTGCCAATGAATTCAAGATCTCAACATTTTACATTGTGCTATAGTTGGTTGTGAACGGAAGGAACTGTTATACACGCCACTCGGCCATTTCTCGAGAGTTAAGTAAACTTTTCAGAAAGCCTGCCAAAACTCTCAGCTAATGATAGAGACCACTAATCACGATGAATTTTTCTTATGTGTCAATTTGCTAGGTATCGACAGATCATTAGTCACAAACTTCCCTTGTGTAGCCCCCCATTTTCGCTAATTTGACCAATCAACGCGGGCCACAAACTCACACCGCATTGGCACATTATGAATAATTGGGATACAGGTATGTTATGTTAAGATACATATTTTATTTTGTGATGACATATCATGATAGAATTGCTAATCTAATACATTTCCGGTGTTTTCCACCCTCTTACCCAAAGCCTAGAATTCCCCGAAATGATTTCCCGTCAATCCTTCCGTCCATTCCTCTCCGCAAACAAACTATATCCCAAAAATCGTGACGGAGTTGACAGAATTTGCAACCATTTCTCGTTGCTCTGGTCTAGTCCATTTTCCACGGCAGTCAAACAACCACTGTGGACAAGCAGCAAGCTTGACGCACTCTCGGCTATGCTTCTTGTTTTTCTCATCTTCAAGAAGTTGTTTCTTCAGGATCTTTTGAAGATTCCCAAAAGATGTGTTTTGTAGACGCGAAATCTCCATTTTCGACTTCATCATCTTGGGAGGAAATGCTGCCCTACGATCGAACTTAGTCAATTCGATGTCTTCATCAGGTTGAACCAAATATCGGGAGGTATAGATTGTGACCTCTCTGATATCTTCATTCATCCAAAAAGGACCCGTTAGGGTCGAGAATGTGCCCCATTTGTCGCAAGGAATTGATGCAGATCTCTGGAATGCACAATCATTCAGAGCAATGCGTTCAACCTTTACATCGCGCATCTTCTGGGCCAAAGCGTCGCATTGGTCATCAGTCATGGATGTCATAGGACAGATGAGATCGGTTGAAGGGTTGATCCAGATGGATGACGCTGTTCCAGTACCCAATGTGGTAACAAGTGGGAATTCCATTCGCGTGTCAAAGACGGGTAAATAGAACTTCATGGCGATAAATCTGGATTCGCCGTTTGCGTGAAGGACTCCCGGAATTGAATTACGACTCCTGAAGGTATAGAATGGCAAGTCGCCATGACCCTGAGAGAATTTCGCATCTAAAACTCTATCACTCGAGAACACTGTGACGGTGCGCTCATCTCGGCAAGCCTCTTTCCAGATCACAAGTCGCAATTCTGTTGGCAAGCGAGGAAAGAAGTGGAACGTGCTTAGGTGCTTTTCCAAAAAGCCCAAGGACTTCTTTTGGAAGCTATTGAAGCTCTGGGGGGTTGTTCTAAACATGTTTCTGCTTCGGAAAGTTGGAAGTTCGGCTTTGTGTAATAGGTTGATAATATTAGTGTTTAGGAAAGCTGATGGAGCTCAGAGCTCAGGAATCTTGTTGGAAGAGGAGATTTGTATGTGGAATCTGGTTCGATTTGATTGATGTTGTAAAGAAGAGGATGTGATAATCAGAAATTTGAACGGGAAAAAATGAAGCCTTTAAGGTAATGGGAACAAGCCAATTACAACCAAGCTAAGCGGATAAGACCGTAGCAAGGACGCGCGAGTTATTGAACATTGTATTATAAATCGGATGAGTCAAAAATACCGTAAATGAGTTGATACATACTTGGTACGAAAGCTCGCTTATCATTACGGTGCAACAGCGCTAGGAAACCTAAAGAGCTGCACTTGTGTAAATGATTGAGAGTAGTTGCTGTGCAAAGTTACGGGGGTCTAGTTTTCCGGGCTAGTACTAGCATAAGACGTGTTCATGACAAAATTCACATGTAGATTACAATGCAGTTTATAGGATTTATTAAAAAATTGCAGATATGATTCAGAGATACATGGTTGCTTAAAGGTAGAAGATCTGGCGAAAAAGTTGATGCCATCAATGAGGTCACAAAAGCTGCCCACAGCCTGTCGAGGATTGCGGTTTCTATACACCCATTCTTTTCTCCCAGAAACCAATTTCAATTCTCGTGACCACTTGAACATCACGCATTCTTTTTCCATTCCCACAAGCCATCCCTACGTCTTTGCTCGTGAATTAGAAGTAACCATAATTATCACTCGATAATTTTGATACACACTCATTGAGAACTCTTAGACCTTCACAGGGTTCTTGAGAATTCATTTCCATTGAACGTGGCGAGGATGTCCTCATTCTTGAATAAACAAGGCTGAAGAATATCATTTATAAAAGACTCCACCTCCAGAGTTTCTATCCAAACTCCTTACTAGGTCTAACGCCAATGAAGCAAGAACTTGTTCCTGGGTCTCTGCCAGTTGCCTGATCTTTCGAAAAGCCATTCTGGGCATTGAGGTAACCTCTGTGCCCGGGTTCCTTCGTTGCCCTTATAATGATTCTTTCTGACTTGTCGTGAATGAGTTGCGGCGAGTTCCCTCACCAAATTAGTGGAACATCTCATCGCATCACAGCAATAAGGTAGTCCAAATTCTGATGAACCATGCAATATGCTTATATATGACCCACAAAAGAGCTCTGTAGGTTGATCATGAATCCAAAGATTTGTAGCCTCAGTGTCTCTTTCGACCCAGCCGGCTTTATGGGAACCATTTCTGGGGCAGAGGGCGTAATTGAAATACCCTCTGAGAATATTAAGCATAGGGAAGATGTCTATGGCAATCGTCTCTACATTTAAATCTCTCAAGCTTTTCACAAAATGACTACTCACTGAATCTACCGGCCAAACAATATCAGAAGCTGGATTTAGATAGATGCGATGATTCTCTATCTCTGGTGGGTCTAGCTTGTTGAAATTCTTTTCAGCGGCGAAGCCGGCTTTGTAATGCCGTAAAGCTATTTCTCGAGCATTTGCATTGACGTGCATGATGGCTGGGACGGGTTGATTACTTCGGAAGCGATAAAGTGACCTGTATCCGCTATCGATTGCGACCTTAAACCGCGATTCACGTATCCATACGACACGTTCGTTATAACAGGCTTCCTCGAATATCATTGACTCAATATCTGCTGGGAATCGCCGACTGAAGGGAACATCTTTATTGGTTACGGTATCGTGGATTGTGGAAATACCGTTGTTGGCAGACATATTGATTCCGTTTGCATGTTTTTCTTTGGAGCTAATTGAATGCGCCTTTCGTTCCAATAGACCTGACCGAGGTAGATAGATGGAATGTTGAAGATTTGAAGATTGACCCCAGTTTTGATATCAAGAGAGTTCTATTTGCAAAGAAGCCAATTAGCAACAGCAAAATGTTGCAACAAATTCAGGTGTGAATTATTGATGGTTGGGAAATTGACTTACCTTTTCAATCGTATTTGGAAGTTTTATAGAAAGTTAATGTCTTGATAATCTATATGATCTTAATGAAGTCAAGAAACTAATATCGAGTATGCGTCTTTATATTCACAAGATTTGCTATGAAAATTAAACTCAATCTTGTAATAATCTTTGTCGAGTTTACTTGGGACAGAGATAAAGTGATTATTAAATAGCCAAATGACTTTATTTCGCTTAAAGATAATCGCACTAGTATCTCGCTAGTTTATTAACAATGTTTTGATTGGTGCTGGGTGAATTCATACATTCAATACCTGGGTAGGTAGGTACTTGTAGAAAACAGACGGCTGTACTATATTTCACGTGATGCTCCAATTGACTTGAATTATTGATAGAAGATTTGTTTCACGAGTCATTGTAGGACGTCTAGGCCTAGGAAGAAGCAAGTCTCAAAACTCAGCAATGTGGTTATAAATATACTCAAATTTCGCAGCTGGATATATGATGGTTGCGATACGAGTGAATATACACGCATGAGCACACACTAGAGCACACACTAGAGCACAAGTGTAATGCACATAGCTTTCGTAGCTCTGAATCTAGAATAGAACACATAAAGACCTATTTTGAGACATCATAATCAACAATAACAATAAAAACATACTCAAAAGTCTCAAATCGTAGCACTTTAAATATCCTCAAATGTAAAGAGCTTTATATGTTTTGATGAATGATAATGTTTCCATGACAAATATGTGAGCTCATGATCTGACATTTATATAATTCGTTTCTGTAATGTGCACTGAAAACGTAATATTTGCTGCAGCTAATGGAATTGATCAAAGGATACTGATTAACATTGAGGGTCATTAATTTATAGCTAGTTTGGTATAGTTAGTACTGATATAGTTAGTCCCTTTGACTTGTCTGCAAAGATTGGATGTTCATTTATACATTGATCACAAAACATAGAGTCACGGGATACATAAGGAAGGCACAAGATCCATGATAAATCAATTACTATGATGTTCTAGAGAATTGTCAGAATTGAGTCTGATTTATGTAGCTAAGATAATGTAAGATGGAATGTAGACCCAAAGCTCATAGCTCAAGTATCTGCGAAGAATAGAATATCTTTCTACTATCATAACCGAAGAACTAGAGGAATGCTCGAAGCGATATTTATCACTTTAATTCTATTCCCCAAATTCTGTGCCTGTGCACCTTTTGGTAAGAGCCGTGTAAGTAAGTTGTCAGGACCTCAGTTACTAGCGGAAAGGAAGAAACCACGGCCTGCAGAATGCGCTGTGTGACCATTCATGATTTAACTCGGAAGTACCTGTATCCCCCAGCGAAAATATTGTGTCGTTAAACTATGCACCAACACAACCAATGTTCTGCATCCGACCCAAAAGTCCACCATGGCCTCAATCTACAAGGCCGCACAGCGCATGAGCTCCGGTCGAGTCCATGTTTTCCGATGCATATAGAGCCAGCTAGGCATGTGAACCAATCTTTCACCCGTCATCTTATCTAATTCATCCTGGGCCTTTTGAAAAGAATTGAGATTCTCAATCAAATCTTCCAGTTCTTCAAACATGGTGTCCGCCTCCATAGAATGCATCATGACTTCCTCAGAATCTTGTTCGAGGTTAAGCTTGGTAGAATTGACAATTCTCAGAGGCTGACGATGGATATTGATGGGATGTAGCGGGCTATAAGCCAGAATCTGGCGAAGATTATGATTCATCCACTTTGGAATGACAACAAACGTTTGCAAATTGTCCGTTAGCTGGGAACATTGAAATTCAAAAGAATCAATGCATAAGCTTTCGATGTTGAGGCGATTGATTATCTGGCTGAATTTCAAGAATTGGAAAACTGTCCAGATGGAACTGCCGTTGCGCACAGGGCAGATGATGTCGATGCTAGGCTTCAACCAGATACGTGGAAGTGGAGATGAAGTATCAGAAGTTGGTGCATAGATGTCAAGCTTTTGTGATTCTCTTCGAGCTTCGTGACAGACTTGCATGATGGCAGGGGTCTCGGATCTAAATCGGAATTCGACGTCGTCGTTTTCTCGGTCGGTATAGACGGGCCAGATGGGAACTGCTCTCGGTTCTAGAGATGCAAATTCATATATCTTGATTCGCAGTTCCAGTGGAAGATCCATGAATTGATGGAATGTGTCTAGATGGGGTTTGCGAGATTTCTCTTCGAGGTCAATGGTTGAGGGTACGATTGAGTAGTTCGGTCGAGGAGGTGGAGGAGACTGCAGGCAATTTTCCTCTGCCGGAGACTCTTGAGTAATGGATGAACCAGGGGATTCTTCTTGTGGCTCCTCTTTAAGCGAAGAGACACCAGGACCAGTGGCATTTGGCATTAAGCTTCTCTTGGGACTTGCAGCTCCTGAAGAGTGATCGAAAAACGAGTAAGACATCTTTTGTGGTGATGATGTTACTAAAGTTCGATAAATGTAAGATTTAATGGTGAGACTATTGTATTTCGATGGTGGAGAGATAAATAGTAAGTTTGTGTCAGTAACTTTGATGTTGACAAAATGAGAATGAAGGAGTTGATCGATGGGGGCAAGCTCCCTTTAAGTAAGTACCCCAAATCATTGAATCCTTTTGCTTACGGTTATGATTTGTCAGGTTTACTTACGGTATCGCGAACTTTGAACGCGATGAGTATACGTTACATACCTACTCATGCAGCCATACGGCTTTTTAAAAACATAAATTTTCACCGTAAACATCTATCTAGACACTAACAATTGTGGCGTCGATTGAGATCGCTAATCGAAGAAGCAATGGCGATTTTCCAAGGTTCGCGTCGTTTACGTGGTACTGTCTCTCCAAACTTGATCTTGTATGCAATCATATCTGTGACCCTTTCCCGGGAGATTGGCGAACTACGCCAGAATATGTATAAAATTTAGCCATATTCTTACAACAACCGTAAGTGTGATGTAGAAACAGGTATTTTGTGAAATGGCACGGTGATGACAAAGCTAGGCAATCAATGGAACTGCAAATTCATAGAGTTTGTCAATTATCAGAGATTAAGCATCGCAATCTTTCTCGCTCAGCGAGATTAAGATTTAGCATACATGTTACCCCTGAAAGACCATCAAAACTTGCATATCTGCAGCATTCATCGTCTCGCTTACATCTTTCGCCCATAGAAATCCTTTTCGGTCCGCTGATCCATCAAGAAGCTGGCACTTAACGGAACAAGTAGAACCGCACCCGGTTCAAATACGCTTCATACATACCACTTTTCAGATTCTTGATTCCGATTTGATAATTAAATAGTCTCACAAGCGTTGCATCTTCTATAAATCGTAAAAAAAATTTTAGCGGTGTCAAACATATTGTGGAGAAATGATAGCATGATCGAGCAACTACATGATTATCGTAGGACTATGTTGGAATAAACTAGGCCTGGTATATATCCAAACGATTTCGAAACCTATCCGGGAGTCCCAATCATCTTGCCTAACTTTCCTATAAACCCACTCTCAACAAAAGGATAGTCATATCGAATCGAAAATATCATTCTCTTTATTGTCCAGTCACAGTCCTTGATCATAAATTACTCTCAGGGCGCGTTCGGATCAAGTTTTTTTTCACATTAGATCTAATATATTAAAGCACATATTAAACTTATTACAGTATTCATCAAATACAATATTGTGCTCAATCTATATTAATTCAAATGAATATATTTATTGAATACAATATTAGATTTAATATAATATTAAATCTGATAATCTTAAGATGATAAATACATCAACTTTTCTCATATAATAATCAATATCAAATTTCAAATATTATTGAACTATTTTGATCAATATATTTGAAAAAGAACATTGACTTCTTCATTTTCAACACAATCTTGTACATCCTAATATTATTCCAAATATATTAACTTCAATATTTCAAAACTCTTGACATTTTATTATTATTAGAGATTTCATCAAATAAATAAAAAATCGATCCAAACGAGCCCTCAGTATTCAGTCTTCCATAGTACGTAACCCGCTTGAACATTCTATTCCCTTTGCATCCCAATTGTAGGCGGTCCAAAAGTTGAGATAGTAGATGAGACACTCGAGTTCTCAACGGTTAAGTATGAATTCAAAACTTAGGACATAACCCTTTTGAATGAGTAAAAACACCTCTTAAACCAATCGTAGACTATTTTGTGGCAGTATCAACTGAACTCAATGGAGTCCAGCCTTTCCAAGTCCATATCTCATTTTCGCTACCACCATCACTCGTCCTTCCATATATTACTATATTCCCCACTTTCACTGCCGGCTTTTTCCAAGAACCAACGATATGATTTTTAAGTCTCTCAGGGACCGGCTTACCTTCTGCCAACGCTCGTGTAACTTCTTCGTCCCACCGTCTTTCATCCTTCTCAATATCTGCAACATGTGCATCCAATGCCTCTTTCTCCTTATTACAAATTAAATCAACACCAGTAATAGGCTCAAATTCAATCGTTAAATTCCTCGATTTCAGTCTATCATAGGACACAAAAGGCTCGTAATAAATGAGTATTTCATTGAAACGACGCCCCAGAGATTTTGATAATCCCGGGTCATAATGATCAGAACGAACGGCAACTTTATGCAACTTGGTGCCACATAGACGTTCATCTGAATTAATCATGTTGCTGAAGGCACCATATCCATGCTGATTTGTCTGCGCGGCAACAATTCTGTCTGTATCCCAATTGACATATATTCGCGGCTCACTGATAATGTTCATTCCATAATATGTTGGAATGTTGATTCCGAAATCCAATTGATAGAATTTAAGGCCGATGGTACGAGATTCTCGAGATACATGCAGGATTGAGGGTATAGCACTAAGAGTTACCCAGCGATTAACCTGACAGGCGAACCGCCTTCGTTCCTCTTCAAAATGTCCAAGACGTCGGTACCAAATGTCAAGGTTGCGTGGTTGATTGGCAACGAGTTCCCAGATTTTGAATCGTATTTCAATGGGTAGTTTGAGGAATCCAATGGTATTAGGAGCGACGGGTCTAGGAACAGACGGGGTTTTAATGGTCTGATCCATGATGGATTGAATACTGATGAGTGTCTGATGTATGAGGCCAGCGGATCCAATGTGAATCCAAGTTTTTGAATATAATGCGATGCTTTCAGAAAACGATGTATTCTATCTAAGTCGATCCAGATATATGAAGCGCTCTGGTATAAAACTGCAGTTCCAACTATTGAGAAGCCTGATTGATGTAAAATCGAATGAGAGTCTTATTAGATGATATCGGCCCCCTGATGCATTGATGAGCCCTTAGCGATCGAACGAAGTACTATCCCCTCACTTTCTTTGGTTCTATGTCGAGTATAAGGAATTGAGATATTGATCCTGTCGATTTGATAGTTCAGAGAAGAACGATGTGTTCTCAAGCAGAAACTTTTGAAAACAAGGTAGCAGTGCCAAGAGGTGAGGTCAAGATGTCGATAGTCGGGCTTACATACACACTTGACCAATCGGAGGTTCGGAAGACCGTAGAATCTAGAACTATTCATCACAGACCCCACATCGACAACCTCCACACTACCGAGACCTACTTGAGTATATCCTCGACGTCGTGAAATGTTATGAAGTCTTTTGAATTTTCAAACTGGAAGAGATCATGCAGTTTCCATGTATAAATCGTCGGAAGTATTCCGTAAGGTATCTGGCTACTTCGATACGTTCGGTACTGAGAATGATTTTGCGATCCTTGGGTATCAACAGTTATCAGTTCCCCCGCACGTCACAGTCAACAATGTTATCCATTTCTCTTTTCCCATTGCTGTCTCTCTTCCCCCCCGTAGCCAATGCTTCAAGAGGTGCGAGCGTACCACACTAGGGTGATAGGATTTGTTGCCATAACTTACATGCAGCATAAAGTTATCATTGTGCACAAGACATGATACGATCCACATCTCCTGACAAAGTTCGAGATACACGACCATCCCGTCATTCGAAGCATTCTCACCCAGCAAACGCAAAATACGCCTGTCACCTTACTTCCACAACATATGCCTCTTTTACAGCATCAAAACCAACTAGTCTCGCTAATACTTTCAACTAAACATTTTCCAGACTCCGAGCTAAGTCCTTCATTCTCAGCGCCTCTTATTCCTGATCGTCATCCATTCACTTCTTATGATATGCGACTCTTCGCACCTCCCAAACACCCTCTCCTCCATCCAACCCAACAATTCCCATCCACGACTTTCCCTCCACAAACGAATCCAACACTCTCATCTCCTTCTCACTGCGCACGTGAATTTGCAAGCCATCCCACCAACCATACCATCCTCACGGCAAATGGGAGTAAACCTCATAGATCTTCATCACCAGATAAACAACCACAAGCAGCCAAATCACACCCCAAAGAAACGCCTTGACAAAAAACATCCAGAACGTGAAGAAAAATACAAGAATCGGTGATGCCCAGAGAAGCATCGTCCACAGCATATAGAGCATCAGCAATGTCATAAATACGGATGTGAGGGGGCCCCCCGTGAATTCAAAAAGCAAGGACATGATGGGTCGTTGATGAACTGATATTTATCGTGAAGTTGATGGGTGAAATGAGGTTTCAGAGTCCTGTTGATTAGGAGGATTGGGGATACCAATTAGTGGTCAAATTACCCATTGTTGAAGTTCAATGTTTGGTCTGTTCCACAGAGGTGCGTATGCATGTATCCACATTTGATCTTTGCAGGTATGCAATGCTACATTATTCACGTGATACCTCTCGAAATACTCTGTGTTACCCTGAAGCAGATAACATTGTAGATATCGACGCATGCTGGTAATACAATGTGCATAAACTTTCTAGCAATGATTTGTATGATGTAAAGTTGCTGAAATTACTATTCATCACTGGCTAACAGTTCAACAGACTTCAATATTTTCATAATGATATTTGTTGAGTTATCAATCTATCTACTACCCCTCCCCTAATTCCCCAATCCTAAAGCTAACCGTCAAAGGTCTTCGCCTAAACCCCTCGTACTCTTCCTACCCAGCCAAATAATCCGAGCAAAACATGGCCATCCAACCCCCCTCCAACAAACAACCCCTCACTCCACCCTCGAAAAACAATTCAGACACCCCCTCTCACAATGCCAAGTCTCAAACGGATTCTTCGATCCCATAATCCCACTAAGCGACTTCGGAATTGCATGCATCAACAGGCTCAACCTGGGAGGCGTCCACTTCTCCAGAACCTCTGTTGAGAGATGGTGAAAAACGGGTATTCTGGTCAACAATTGATGTGTCGGCGGACCCGCAAGACCCTTTTCAACATCATGACGGTCTTGTACCATTTTTGGAACTAGGTCTCTATATCTGGTGATAGATCTATGGAGATCCGTAATTGCGATTCCGAGTGCGCATTGATCTGTCTCTTGGATGGTATTCCAATCGATCGAAGAGACGATGTGCGGAAAGCCTCGAGATCCATCTTCGTATGCGTATGAGGCTGCGTAGTCTGTTCCTGCGTAGAGAGTGATTGACTTCAAGGCGTGAGGAGGACGCACGATACTGGTTAGCCATTGATCGAGAGCCGCCGATCCGATGAACTGATTGCCTGGCGCACCCCATTGCGATTGATCGAGTGCGATGCTCTGACACTGGGCTTTGTGCATCGAGACTACGAGCATAACTGTGATATGTCCGAATAGGTTGCCGACGGGACAAATGACATCGCAGTGGGGATTGATGTAGAATCGGGGAGCGAGACCGATGGAAAAGAATCTGAAGTTGTGTTCGGCTACAAGAGCTTTCTTGTAGTATCTCTTGGCTTCTACTCTCGACACTCGGCAAACACTAAATAGTGTGGGAATGGGAGTATCGGATCGAAATCTGACAAGTTGTTTAGTTTCATCTTCTCCGGTAACTTGCTTGCTGAGAGAATGACATCGCTTTGCAGCCACGGGTACATGGCGACGTTCAAAAGAAGCGAATTTCCACACCAAGCGTTGAAGCTCAAGGGGTAGTTCAGGAAACCTCGTGAAGGATTTTGGACGGCTGTGTGAAGAGAACATAGTTTTGGTAGGTAGTGATTTGAGAATGGGTATTGATGATGCGTTGGATATCCAAAGCGAAAAAGATCGCAAATGTCTTTGAGTGAGTATTTCGTAGGTATTGCTTTGGTTGTCTGTATCGAATTGGGCGTTAATGGAGGAGTGAGATTTCTAAGAGGATTGTAGAACTTATATAAGCTAGCTCATGAACCGTTCATACAGCCAAGACGCCGTAAGCTCATTGACACGGCAGAGAAAAGTGTACCTCTGCTGTATTGGCATCATCAAAACTGTGTCTCTTGATCCAACTTCATCCAAAGAAGGAAGTTCTGTCAGAATTGCCGTACGCCGTATCATGTTTGACAAAGACAACCCTAAAAATTCGACCAAAACTTCCCAGATGCATTTCCATCATACCGTACGAAAACCATAGCCGTCATCATATCGCCGTACCTCTCTCAGTTTGTTGACAATAGTCGTGATTAAGTTTCCACGTATCGTACCATCTACCACAAATAATACACCAAATCATTATCCTAAAATCCAAACCCAAAGCCCGCATTCCCATTCCCCGTACCTCCCATTCCAACACCCCCAATCCAATCCCCTGCATTCAACCAATCAACTTGTCCCCACATCTCTTCCATGCCCATCCCCTCGAGCGATTCCAGTCCCGCATTGAAATCCAAACTTGCCGTAAACTCATCATCAAAAACCGTCTGTCCAGTATGCGCAGGCTGCGGTAGGAAATTAGCACCTGCATTGTCCCATACTTGTGCTCCCTCAGCTCTTATTCCATTTTCAATCCCCATGTTATTTGTAAATTCTTGAGCCTGAACTTGTGTTGGATCAATTGTGCTTTGAGCCATCCTGGAAGGGTCTTCTTGGCTAGAGTTGCTTTTCTCCTTCTCCCTTTCCACTTCCCTGTCAAAATCTCCCCCATCGAGAACCCACTTCAAAACGCGCCCCACCACTCCCCTCACCCTTCTCAACAATGCATAATTCCCATCCGTATCTCTCACCCAATCCAGAAACGCACCAAAGAGTGTCAATCTCTGAATTGCTACACTTTTGGGAAATCTCGCCATTGTTTTCTCTTGAGTTCCCATTTTCCTCGTTTCAGAACCAGAAGCAGAGGCGGAATTTCCACTTACTCTTTTTAGCAACTCCACACAGATTACACCTGCCGCTGGGATTCCATAGCTCGTAATAAACCAATCGAAACAGAACTCAAATCCAACCAACACATCCCTCTTCTCCCACATCATAATGACCTTTTCCAACATTTCCATTGCCGTATCCAATAATCCCTGGATATAATTCCCTTCTAGGCTATTTGCTACTGCAAGCCTATATAGCAAAAGGGTGTTGTGTAGCGCTTCAAATGAAAAGATTAATTGTACAAATAGTAATCTCCCTGTTGATGTTGGATTAAACTTGAATTGCGGTGGCCAATTCCGAGTTAAAGAGGCAGTACGAGAAAGAAGAGAATCTATGCGTTCACGACTGATCTCCACATCCACACCTAAAGCTCCCTCTAATATCTCTTCTTTGATCATGTAGATTTGTAAATTAGCTCTATAGCAAGTACTGCAATAAATTTCACCTTTCCGATTCCATCCTTGCTCATCGCATGCAGCTATTGCTTGTTGCATTTGGGCACGGGGAAGGAAAAGTTCTGTTTCCGAGAGATCGGAAGGCATTTGGAGACGGCAATAGAGACGAGAAATACCAGGCGGTGTGCCGTTGAGAGCTGAAGAACATTTGTCCATGTAGTAAACTGAACCGAATAATCGACGCTTGTATTCGGCGGCTGTGGTTAAGAGGTGTGGAGGGAGATGGGGGAGACGGTGGAGTCCAATAGCACACGCTGATGTCACCATATTTCCATGTCGGTTGAGATTACTATAACCTTAATGTTTGAGTGTTATGTTAGCTCATCTTCTGAAATGGGTATGATTGTGACTGAGTCCTTCAAATTGAATGAAAAGTAACATACTCTCATCTCCCACCACTGCACTTTCCAACACATAGATAGACACCCGAAATGCAACAACAATCTCATTTACCGTATCGGTGCAATCACACATTTTCCCCATAACATCCGCACACTCGTTCATTCTCCAACTTGTTTGTCTTCTATTCCTTCCATGATTTTCCTCTTCTAAAAACAATGGATTTCCATCCACCAGACTCTGGTATGCTCTTCCTATGAAGCAGAATAAAAGTCCCATAGATTCAAATCGAATGTTGGGCCCGCAAAAAGTATCGAGCCACGCGACACCATCGTCCGGAGATGAGGGTAATGGTGTTTCTTCGTTTCTGAGTAATGTTTCGACGAAAGGTACAAATTTCTCCTTACTACGAGGTTCAGCTAGGATTGAGCCAAATGTATCATAGATACTCGAAATCAAATATTTGATCATGAATTCGGGCAGGACTGAGAATTCGAGAAGATCATGATACCGCTCTAGAAGTTTATTACAGCTTGAAAGTGACGGTATGTTCCAAAGTGCTTTGGTAATCATTTCACAACGAATTGTGTAAGATGTCGGTCTATTCCTTCCTAGCTTTGAAAAGATTAAATTTCCAAAAGTCGAAGTGAAATGTTATATGGGGACTCACAAGCGGGGGGCCAAAAGGCCACGAACTAGGATTTTTCCTTCCATCGTCCCCAATATCCAACATTCCTCCTATTCCACCTGCCAATGTCTCTCTTCTCCTCCCACTCTCATCACTTTCTCCACTCCCTCTTTCCGCGTCCAATTCCTTCCCCTCTCCATTCCCATCACCATTCCTAAAAACAGCCCCAAAACTTGTAGGCCCCCAGAACCGTCTACTCCTCTTGTAACTAGCCCCGTTCCAATTATTTTGCATCGTTGGTTTCCCAAGCATTGGATCTATAGAATTCGGAAAGGAAAGTTTATGTGATTGACGATTGGGGGTTGCTGACCTACATCCGCGGGAAGAAAGGTAGACATTGTTTGAGGGTTTTGTGGCTCGAGGTTCCGCCTCGGTTGTGAGCATACCAAGAGAATTGTTCGGGGGAGTGGCTGACTTGGAGATATTGTGAGAGTGGCTTGGATTTGTCGAGGGAGCTTCTGTGCTCTTCCCGCCGCATTCTTCTCTCTCTACATCTCTCATGACCGCAGCATTGGCCAAGCTATCCAATCCTCCTCTTCCTCTTTCTGCATTTCCATCAACCCATTCTTTTCCATTTTCACCTCCCTCTCTGATTCTCCCACTGATTCGCCTCCTTTTCACGCTTCCCCCATCTCTACTCTCTTCCCCACCTTCCTCAGTTCTTCCTCTCTCCCCATCCACCCTCCCGTGACTCATAGGCGCGGGATGATACCAACACCTTCCCTCGAATCCCTTCTTCACATATCTCCCGCAATATGGCTGTTCATGCCCACAAGCCAATTTCCCAATCCTACACGGTTCACACGAAGGACGTTTGCCGTTTCTGCGTAGATTAGGTGCTGAAGACATAATCTTGTCTCTTCGAGCAAAAATTCGAGTTCGCTAGGGGGATATATTCCGGACTGTTATAAATTCGCAACTCCTCGTTTTTTCAAATTCCGTTTCCAAACAGGACAAGAATCAGGGGAGATCACGAGTCTCTGTGCTCTGTAACAAACTTGATTTCAATAAACACACATATAGATAAATCGTGTTTTCGCAAACCGGTAACTACACAGCGATGGCCAATTCCGTTGCTCTTGTGACTCACTTCAATTCAATTTACAAGATAACCATAACGTCACAGAGGGTCATGTTGAGTTGACTGAGTATGAAACACTCATCGTGAAAATAGTGATTAAAAATCAAAGTAAGCTACATTCTCGGATGTTGCCTGCGTACGTGCACGTGCCAACATCATCGCCCTATTCCCGAAATAGATCTGACCCTTGCGAGACGAGCCAGTCTACTGGGTTTGTTGATATCAAGGGGTGGATGTCCAAGTAAATGTGCCAAGAAGAGTCAGTGATATGGAAAAAGGAAGGCAGTGATAGGCAGAAGATTGTAGAAAATAAAAATATTGCAACTTGGCCATAGTCACGGGTCATCACATCACATCACATCACACTCATGTAAATACCAGTTCATTCTCGTATGATAATTTTTATTGAGATTGATATGATCAAATTACCTATGACTTCATACTCACCCCGCATGGGGAAGTAAAGTGAATAGAGAGGCATGGATATTTTCTCAATCATCCTTTCATTTTCAGTCGGTTCGCTGATCCGATATTTCGTTTAATGACTCCTCTCCTAGCATTCATCTGATCAGATCTGCTTGCCTTCGCTCGCCTGACCACTTGCGCTCTTCACCAAATAATTCATTTCTTGCTTGCACATTCGCAAAAAGAAATATCCACTCCATCTCTGATATCATACACTTCATCCCAATCGCTCCCCTCAATTACGATTTCCCTCCACCACCGCCTTCCATCACTCGCCACAACAATGAATCAAAGTGCGCGAGGTAATCAGGCAACGAAATCAAGGTCATCCTGCCAAAATAAAAGAGTAAATTGACCAACGATCGATCAAGGTTCATTATCAGCACGCATGAAAGCGGTACTGGCAGCATGTGTAAATCAAAAAGCAAAACTCAACTACTATCCTCCAGTCCTCCATCTCTAGACACATTTTCCCCCATTCCTAATGTCATGAATATACCGAAGAACGCATAAAGCATGTGCTACATCGACTGATCCTATTCGAGTCTTCCAGGCATTTCGAATACCAGATCCTCGAAAGTAGAAAACTCGAATAAAAATCGGAAGTCGATGAATGAAATGCATGATATCAAATGGGCTGTGAATGGAGTTTTTAAAAAGTTTGGTATTGTACAACGTGCCCATAAGTGTGCGAGGAAAAGATAATGTACAATTTGAAAGGCCATTTTCTTAAGAGTTGTCGCCACAAATCCCGATATTTGGCAGCGAAGTACGAGCTCCCAAGTTGGCAACCAGGATGGAGGTTCATTCAAGATAAGATTACTCTTCTTCA